TCACGGCAAAGAGACTATTGGGACAGCACCCCGATGCGCCATGATCTTCCGTCCGTTTTCTGCGGAGACTTTTTCGGGGACGGCTCCTCGGAGAGCGGACCTCAAAGGTTGGGTTCAGACAAAGTTCCCCGACAAAGTAGCTCAAGAACTCCCGTCGCTGCAGGACCCTGAAGCGATTCGAGAATTCTCAGGGACTGCGTCGGGAAATTTCTGCGCTTGGTTTGAGGACTCGTGGTGTGTCGGGGAACCTGAGCCAGCTCGAAGTTCCGGTCTGCCAGGGAAATATGCACGAAAATGCGCTCCAACGTCTCCCGCGTTCGGGTCCCTCTTCTCTCATCCGATTGGAGTTTCACATGGGGCTCCTGGAATTGAGGGAGCTTCCCTGGATTCGAGACGCGCATAAAGCGCATGCCGATCAGGGGTCGATGCCGAGAGCGCGCAGCGACGGGAGTTCTTGAGCTACGCCGAGGTACTTTGTCTGAACCCAACCTTTGAGGTCCGCTCTCCGAGGAGCCGTCCCCGAAAAAGCCTCCGCAGAAAACGGACGGACGATCATGGCGCATCGGGGTGCTGTCCCAATAGTCTCTTTGCCGTGAGCTGAAGCTTACAGCCAGCACCTTTCCGGAGAGGTATTGCCCGGCCGCGTGACGATCGTAATCGAGGCAGAGCAAGAGATCAATATGTTGATTCAATCGGAGCACGCTTGAATCCGGGCTCCGGACGCCAGAAGCCGATTCCCCTACGATCCAAAGTCGACGCAAACCAGGGTCTAACCGCAAAACTCTTGAGCGAGAGATCTCACGTTGGTCCAAACTTCCATATCTAGAGTGGGTGAAAGCTGAGATCAGCGTTTCGGGTTGCGGTAAAGACTTTCCTTTTTAGTGGATCGATACATCCAAGCAACAATTTCTCCAGGAATCAATTTGACAGAGAAACAAAGGAGCGAATTGATTTACGATGTGTGTTCAGGCTGAAGAGTTGAGTCGAACGAGTCGGTGCCTGTAAAGAGGGTTTCGCCGCCCTAAAAAAACGCTCCAATCAGCCGTGATCCTGGCCAGCGCGGCACGATGTTTTTGAACGCTCCAAAAATCGTTCGCCATTGTTGAAATCATCCGCTAATCACGATTCTCGATTCATGTGTGTAGGTCGCACTCCTTCACTGCGAGACGTACGGGTTTTCATCAGTATGGGGAGCTTTCGGGAGCTCTGAATATCGTATTCCGCTTTGGGATACCCCCGATTCTAGCCCCCAACCTTTGCTTACGAGCTCCAAATTCGTATACTTCGCATATCGCGACGTCGACCAGATTCGTTTTTCGAAAGCTCGAACGGACGTTCGGGGGTAGGTAATCTTTCGCGGGTGGTCTCGGCGTTCGTAAACAATTCAGAGTACACTCTTTCAGTAGAGACTTCTCAAGACAAGTAGTAGTTTCCTTTCCGATTCCGGGCGATGTTTCATGGGTTCCGAAGAACGACGGGCGTCTTGTAATTGCACGCGGAAGCTGCGCTTTTCCAGAGGAAGCTACGAGTCATAAACGATTTTCTCGAAGCCAGCTCGGAGCTGACCCAGATGACTCGAAACTGAGAAGCACAATGAGAGCACCACTAAAAGCATAAGAGATCCCCCATTGCCGAGTTCCGGACTAGCGTTGGGGTCCAATAAAATGGAATCAGTCAATTCTCCAATTTGCGGCTCGTTCCTATGGGAATTTCGAAGAATTGCGACACACCGTCTCCGCCGCTCTCCTCATTTTACAAACCTCCTTTCGAGGATTTCTGCTCGTGCTTGAGTACGAAAAACGACAGATACAACGGCATTAACGAGAATCAAATGTCTATGAGGGTCCCCTTCGAAACTCTCCCCCTCGGTCAGATGTCGCGGTTTTGGGACATTCTCTCAGATGGAGAATTCATCATTGAGCGATAAGCCACATCGGTTTGCGGCTGGATTTGTATACACACCAGATTTCGTTTTCCGACGGCGCCTCACCCTGTGGGTTTTCAGGCGTTTCAAATGGCCGCTCATTCGACACGTTCCGGTAATCTGGATCAGCCCTTGTTGGCAGTTCGCGCTGAATTGAAGAACCTAATTGAGATCGAATCACGCGATGCGGCTCGGAGATTAATGATTCCAGACGAAAACCTGCATCCCGCATGGCTCGAATCCATTCTCCGGGTCGATTAGCCCCTCTATTCCAAAGCTGATCGAAGCCGAGATGACCCGAACCGGATGGAGGGTGGGGCAGCTCACGGCTGACCGAGATGCGATGCTGATGATTCTTGCCCGATCGACAGCAGTCAGAATCCCCCCGACAAAGGGCGAATCTCGAGAAAATGGGGACAACAGGGGGACTCCAAAATGATTCGGACAAGCATGCGCACGCCTTCCGGTTAATCTTCCGAACATTAATTCAAAAGCGTCACCGACGTAATATGAAAATGATTTCGGGGTGTTATACCTGTCGGACAAGATTCGATACCCCCTCCCGCGGGGTAATCGGATCTAATAGGGGGCGCGCCATGCATCCTTGAGTTCCCTATGTTCTTGAGTGCGAGCTCCAATGAAGGCTCTCCCGAGCCGAGAAGATTCAAAGAGTCCTGAAGATCATTAGGTATTGGGCTCTTTCAGAAGTTCTATCGATGTTTCCTGCTGCGGATCAGTTACTCAACCTTGGTGCGGCAGACGTATGCTCGAAATTACGGGCGCCCTAAGGATTAAGATCGGCTATGGCGGCCGGGGATACCGGACGGAGATTGTATTAGGATCTCAAGAATTTCTTCTTTCTGCCCTCATCGACTCAAAGTCATCAGTTCATCGGTCGAGCTTCTGAGCGGATGATCAATGAACGACCCAGGCCTTGCACCGAGTGAACGCGCGGGTTGTGTGCATTCGAGAACTGAAAAAGATACAAGGCCGTGTAAGAAGTTCCTTTGCGAGCACCGGATTATGTTCCAGGGAGCTCTTATCGCGCATATTGCCAATGACGAAGAGAGACCATTCTGGCGAACTCGATAAGCGTCTTGAGGGTGCCAATGATCTCGACGATTTTCGCTGTGCGAATGTGAAAGGGTCGAGGCTTGCGACGTGTGTCGGCGACGTGGCGTTAGCGGCCAAATTCTTAAACGACGCCCTTCTCCAAAATTTCCATCTCCGAACTTCACATGCGATATCCACCTAGGAAATTCGGGTTTCCCCGGTGAACACAATCGGGAACGGCGTCCGGGAATTTCGGTGTCTAATGGGGACCTCCCTTGCCCCCCTCCGGCTTCAGGACCGGTCAAGCCGAGCCCCAGTAGGATCCCTTGCTCCGTAGTCCTCAATGGTTCCTGATCATACGTTACGTGCTCCTCGCGCCCTCTGGGGATAAAATGAAAGGAGAAAGGAACAGCGAACGAAAACACAGAAATGAGCCTCATTTTGATCGGAGGGGTGGCGCGGGGGAAGAGGGGAGGCTCCCTGGAATTGCAGTTACGGCAATGCGACTGCTCGAAGATGGATAAAGGAAATCGCGATGGGGAGACACAAGGATTCTGAACTGTTTGTCCGCGCCTTGAGCTTGCTCCCGAAGACTGTGATGCTCGACATGACCGCTGCTCTTGCAAGAGCCTGCCGTACTTCGATTCTCGCGATGCTGTTGGAGAAACCTCAATCCTTGCTTGGACAAGGATTAAGACTACGGGAGTCTCTCGCCGAGGGTCAGAGATTAGCGCTGCGACCCGCAAAGCTCCTTTATTTGTAGGAAGCAGGCGAGTCTTCTCCGTGTCATGCTCGTCTGGGGGCAAAAAATTTAATATGGGAACGACGCAGAACAATACCGTTGGCGTTCATGCTCGCTTGGTTCAGGACTAGGGTCTCATAATATTTTCTCGGATGCTTGTTCTGGAGACATCGGATCGTCGGACTGTAGGAACGGATTGAACTTGGGACTTTCACGTCTCTTCCACGCTGATACGCGGCGAAATGATGCGGAAGGACAAGAGGTGTGACGTTTGACAGCTGATTATATTCCGGTGCTGCGACAAATTTGGAGATGTTGCATATGACACCATGATCCCACCTATTATAATGGACCCTGCTCCGATCCGTACTTCGAGCGTCGGAGAGGTCTGAGAATTTTCCTTGGGGTTTGGTTCATGGATCTCTCTAATCGATGGAGAATCAAATCTGACGTCGTAGATCGGGAGGGCGCTCCATCCGAGACCGCCGGGGAAAAATCCTGGAATCATTCCCGAACAGGCCGACCGCGTTCCAAGAAGAGGGAGGGAAGAGGCCGCACATCCGAGGAAGTCGAACCTAGAAGAGCTCAGATGTCGTGAGTATCGCAGCATTCGAATGCCGCATAATTTGGATTTCTGCTTAAGTTTTTCGGTGATTGACGCTTCCCTGGCTGAGGACGAGATGGTCCACGAGTCTTCGGGACTCCAAGCATCCCTCCAGGTATTCCACCACCGCACTTCGACCCGAAATCTTTGATCCGACAAAGAGGAATGGATCATCCCCGAAGACTCGTAGCCTCCCGAAATATCGGCTCATGGAGTACCATTCGCTAATAGCTCTCTTCGAGGAGATAGATTAGTCAACTAGCTCATTATCACAGCATCGGGTCGGATTCTATCATTGATTAGAGGATCAATTAAACTGAACTCTGAATCTAGGGGCTCATTTCAGGGTGGGATCTTCTTGGGCTCATCGAGAAAGTGAGCACTGCGGTCCGATCGCGCTAGGGAAAAACCAATCCGAACAGCGCGCATATTCGGAGCGGCGAGGAACGAACTGACGACATTCGAATATCCGGCGAAGGCCGCAGTGGTCGAGTGAAGCTCGGTAAGATGTCTAGCATTACCAGCAGGCTTGCTGGGCTAGTTCAATCGTCTTTTCTCTCGCGAGAGGAAGGTGGGGTCTCGGCGCCGCCTAGCCAATGGGTGAGGGAGGCGGAGTCAGAGGCCGGTGGCGAGTGTCCTTATTATAGCTATATGATAGCTGATCTTCACTCGTGAGCAGCATTAGTGACACATCAGTGAGTCGTACGTCGTGAGTGCGCAGTTTGCCCTGAACGCAACTTCTTCCGTCATTCCTTTCCACTCTTCCGCACAAGGGACAGCTGCTTCTTGTGGCAGACAACAGACAAAGTGTGACGTGATCCAAACGTGCATTTGTGCAGACCTCGCGCCCGATGTCCGTGTCGAAAGCGGCGGCTTTACAGGAACACAGGGATCCCCGCAACAGCATGGATAACGGTAAATAGACTTTCGCTTCAATCTTCCCTTCGATTCCTGATTTTTTCCCGTTCGCCGTGCCCACGGGAAAACGGAACTTTCCAAAACGTGACGTAGATTCCTCGATCGCGCGCTTTCCGCTTCCCGCTCGTTATTCATCTGGTACGGAGATGATGGGATTCCCGTGTTGTGGCAGAGCTGAAAAACAGTTTCCTCGTCGTCGGGATAGAGAGAATCAAGGTCCCGGGGACCGACGACCGCTGAGCGCGAGAGGAAGTCGTGCCCGTGACTCTCCGCTGGAGATTCGGAGCTGAACTTGTTTGACGACAATCTCCGCCGCCGTCGTGAGGCGGCAATGGCTGAGTTGTGAAAATGTGGATTCGCGTGTTGTTAGTCTTAGAGTCAGGGCCTCTGAAGTCTTCGACTGAGCTTGCCTGCTCGAGCATACAGTTCACGATCGCTGTGTACACATCAGTCGGTGCCCGTAGATTAGGACATTTGGTATCCTCCCACCGGTGATTCACGGTTGATCTCGTCCGATCGCGGCCGGTACGGTGACTGGGACAAATCTCGGAGACTCATTCCGAGTTTGCGCCGAGACCCTGACGAGAGGATCATCCGTCTGCGAGGAGCTCTCCATTCGCGGAGGGACGAATCCAGCAAAACTCGAATTGGGTCTCGTGAGCGATCGTTTTTCCAGGGAGCCGGCGCTCTGGCTATGGATTCGGTAGTAGGAGCTGTAGGATCCTTACAGTCCCCCCGAATCGTTCCGGCAACGCTCGAGTCTTTCCCATGCCCCGCAGGTATGAGGACGGGAGCATTTCTTTCGCGTCGCAACTGCGAATGACAATTTTGCACTCTCTCGATTGCGTGGCGATATGACGGTCTCTCGTTGGAAGCAAGTGATCCGAAATTGAGCTAACTCCTTCGTTCGAAAGCTCTCCCCCGATGCTCCGCTGGTGTCGAGGTTCCGATCGAACGAAGATCGCTCTATTTGTCTAGACCGTTAACTAACAGCATGCTTGTTGACCGAAGTGTGAGTGACATGTTGATTGCTCTAAATCTTTGTTCCATCCGCTTTATTGGCTCATATCGAGCGCACGCGGGTCACCAGGTGGGGGCGTGTGTCCTCCAGTGTAGTTGAGTCCCCTCGTTTTCTTTCTTCTGTGTCTTTATCCCGCTCACTCTCAATCGGTGTTAACCACCTCGATCGGAGCTACTTTCGCGACTACGGCTGATGCAGACGCGGAGAAAGTAGCCGCACTTGATTTATATCGCATTCGAGTTCTTCGTCCGACTTGAATCGCACGCTCCATCGAATCGGCAGTGAGCGACAAAGCCGGTGTCTCAAGCCATTCGGGGAAGCGGTCTTCGGCACCGCATCGCTGCAAATGGTCGATTTCGCTGTTGGAGAAGTCATAACCAAATATTGTGATGGGATAAATCAAAAATCCAGTATTCCGCGCAGTTCGGAAAGACCTCATGCGGGAGTCGAGAGCAGACGTTCAAAATTGAATACCTCATCAGCTGCTCATCGCCGCGAATCTTCTCGCATTCATCAACGGACCTTTGTTGAGAGCATGAGCGTAGTTATCGCTGCGCTATTCGGACGAAGCGAAACCGCAGATTTCGATGGGAAATCGGGTCCGTGGCCACCTAAGCAGAATTTCGCGGACTGGGAGCCGTCATATTGAGCCTTTCATAATGAAACACACGAACTCGATTCTTCTTGGTCCGCTCGATAAAAATTTCCGTCAGTTGAGAACGCGAGGAACTTCCTAAGGCAAGGTTTCCCACTGAGTGCCCCGCTCCCGATGAGGTCTTTCTCTTGTTCATTTCGCGAAGCTAAGTGAACTAGGCTGTTTCGTCCGTACAATGAGGTCACCTGGCTGTAGTTTGTGCTCGGATAGCTCGCTGAGAATTCGAAGGGCTGTACAAGTTGTGGGTATGTGTGTGTTCGCGCCCCATGCCCCCCGCCGTCCATAAGGTGCGACGTTAAAGAGATATGTGATTCGTTAAAGAGATTGTGATCGTGTTAGTGGATGAATAGACCACACACACACAATGTCATCCCACAATCTGATCGCTTCATGTTCTCGAGACCCAGCTCACAATTCGAAAGAGCCAGAGTCGAGAAGTCACTCGTCGAATGGGACCACGCTGAACGGAGGGCAATTTTTGGAGAGAACCTCCTCAGTCGGAATAGGATCGAATAGTCCGGACGGATCCAAACTCGATGAATACGCAATGCACGAGGTCACTCGGAGAACGCGAGCATGGGCTCTTCGGCTGCATTCGTCTCTCCTGATGATCCCGCTGCTGGGTCCCTTTCTTGCCGATTCACGGATAGATCGAGGAAATCTTATCAGTTCCTCGACGAAGTCGAAGGCGGCGTAACTTTAGAGAGACAATGCATTATCTGATTCGAAACGCTTTCGAGTTTGCAAATGGTCAGTTTCTGTGAGTTCATCGAATCTGGCAGGAAGACGATGGAGGAAATTCTTCGGGAATCATGATTGAACTAATTAACACTACGAGGCTTCCTGCCGCGGAAGCCTCTGTGAGCAGCTCGGAGCCAGCGAAAGGACTGAAGCGAACCAGGTTACCTGGAGCCTGGTATGGTGTTTTACTGGGATGCCTAATGAAGGCTTCGCTGTTCACCGAGAGATGGAGCTCGCTGAGTCCATCGAGCGAGCCGAGCTCAGAATCGGATTGTTTCGAAGAGCTCCTCCATTTGCGCATTCCTCAGATGACCGAGCTGCTCAGTTTGCTGGTAATTTTCTGAGTCCCAGGAGGGCACTGCTACGCTCGGCTCTGGTTGCGGTTGTAATTCCTCGCTCTAATACAGTGGCGTCTCCGGGAAGCGTAGTTTTCTTGTCGATGTTGACGTCGTCGATGTTGCCGCTGCTCCTGTTCGGCCGCCCCCGTGGTCGCAGCCTCGGTGCTCGTGGTGCTTGTCGTCGTTGAATTGTCGCTGTTTCTTACTGTTCTCTCTTTCCATGCATCTGTATTCTGCGTTCTGGTATTCAGGCTCGTTGCGCTGTTCGTCGAAGTGGCGTCGTGGGGCGACCAGTCCACTCCATTACCTCAGGGGGCGTTCCTCCTAATTTGCCGGGTGGTCCTTCCCGGTTAGGAGCTTGCAGACCACAGTTTGAATACAGCTCGCAGCCATAACAAGGTATAGCATAAATAGTGAGCGACGGCGGACACCTATTTAGACATCACATGCCCCCAACAGCTCGAATGACTCCAAGCTCACGCCTTTCTGCGAGACAACACCCTACACGCCTCCGAGTCTGTTCGTCTGTCTGTCTGTCTATCCGTCCGTCCGTCTCCTCTCGAGCATGCCAGTCTGCGAGCCCATGTATGCATGCGCTTGCGCGCGACGCCGTTGGTCTCGAAATGGCGATGCGGTCATATAGGACGATGAGCCGCTCACACACAAAACAGCCATTTATCTCGACATCGCTGGAAGAATGAGCGCTGAGACCGAGTCGTTCAAGGAACTCTAGGGTGGGCACATTACAGACTTCATCGCCACCTCGGAGCGTCCCGATCTAATTCCTCAACTGTCGGCTATCCATCAAGTTATCGATGCTGTCGAGTGCGCGCCGAGGAAGTCTCACGGAGAGAGATTCTCCATTCATCTATCGATCATTTAGACTAGCTTCGGCTGTCAATCAAAAAATGAACACACACTCTCGGTTTCTGTTTAGACGTTCATCATCGTCTAGAGATTCCAGTGAAAGTTTGCGTTGACAGCGATAAAATTCGGTTTTCTAGCGATTCGCATCGCGTGTTCTCTCCTCCGTGGCACATTCAATAATTGCAGCTTCCTCCGCTGCCGGCGCCGCTGCTGCTTCGGGGAATACTGTAGCGACTTCGGAGGTGGCTTTGTGCCAACGCAATGACTAGAAAATGGAGAGACAAACAAACCGAGAGACACATGCGTCTTAGCACATCTCAGCTTTTACGGTTCGTGCTAAAGATTTCCATTGAGTGAGAAGATGACAAAGTCGGTCGGGTGGGCGCGAGCACTCAGTGCCATTCTCGTAACCCGACGACGACGACGCGGTTCTATCCTATAAATTCCTCTCCATCTTCTATTCCGCTCATAAGTTCGGAGTGCTCTCTGGGAAGGGCACTTTCACTCAGTCAGACAGAGCCGACCAGAGTTGCTAAGTTGCTTTACCGTCGAGGAGCAGGCATCTTGAAGAGAGTTCTTATTCCTTGATTGAACTGCCTCCGCAGCTGCTCTAGCCGTACCGCCGCAACTCTAGGGAAACTGCACGAGAACAGCCCGCTGAGGCCCCGCCCTCGCTCCGCCTCGAGGCCCGGAGGCCATCCAATATGCGCTTAATACCGCCATCAGGGTTAGACTATTACTACGCTATTGTCTGCTGAGCTCCCCTCCGTCGACCGTTTTCCCCTTTCTGACTCCTCTCCGCCCGCCTCCCCATCGGCGGGCGACGGTGCACACTGCGCCTTCCGCTAGAATAGCCTCCGTTCTCCCAGGAGGGAAATACAGCGTTTGGAGTTGCCTGGACTCGTGCGCCCGCTCCCCAGCCCGCGTGTTCCTGCCCTTCTGCCTGCCGCCGCAGCGGCCTGCCTCGACGGTGGAGGGCTACGCTGTATATTGGGCTTCCTACTGGGCACCAAATTGGCAGATACAAACTTATGTTCCCCACTTCCCTTGCGGGGAGCTCTTCTCCGCTCTTGCCCCGCTCACTCGTTTCGCTCGCTCAGCTCATAGACCGGGTCTAACTGGTTGACTGTCTAAGGAACTCGTTCTCCTTCAGCTTATTCTTCTCTGAGCTTATTGTCGGTTCCAGCTCACTCCCCTAGCCCGAGCCACTGCAGCGACAACAAGATTAAACAAGGGAAGAGCAGGAACACGACGTGAACCCAATATGTCACACCCCTTCACGACAAACCGTTCCGTGGTCATGAGCCTAAAGTGTTTCTATATCCGGCGTTGAAACAAGTTTGTTGGCGTGTTCTTATTAGAGCTCTCCTCCGCAATAATAAAGTGATGGCCCAGAGAGAGTGGAAGACGCGCCGAGATTTCACCCGACTCTCTCAGCTTATCTCGATCGTCTGCAGACGCCTCTCGGAAGTCGTCGTCGTCCTCTTCTTCCCTCCGTGACCGGCGTCGTCGTAGACCTCCTTAAAACTCCACTACAACACGCGATACTATCGTTTCCTTTTTCCATTGGAGAGCGTCACTCGGCGCTTTATTGCCGTGTTGCTGCCCGCCACCCAGGCGAATGAATCAGACTGAGATTCCGACGAGCTTGAACCCGCGGCCGTCATTCTCCGTCTCTCACTCTCTCGCTCTGTCTAAGTGAGATACCGAGACGGCCCGCCGGAGATCCTGTTACGGAGTCAGTCGGATCCAAGCACCCATAAATGCGATTGTCCATTGAACTCGGTCTCTCGTTTATCCATAAACAGAGAGACACACACACACAGAGCAGAGGCTGCTGTCTGTGACTCGAAGACAAACGCTCGTCGATAGCATCCGACCAAAGCAATCCGATGAGGAAGAGTGACACGGTGTCAGCGGCAGCGGAGAATAAGCTATGAAACAGATTCGACTCGGACGTCGTTTTTCTCACCGATCCAACAGCCTGGTTCTCAGCCTCAAGATCAACAGACTTGATCTTGCTCGGTCACGCGCAAATGCCCAAACACACGCAAGCAAATACACCGAGTTTTCAGATAAGAAGCTTTTGCATGAGGCGCGCTCGCACCCATGTTAAACGCTCTGTTCGGCTTAGGCGATTCGCGTCGGCCAATAAACAGTTGGCGATAAGTTGTGTCTCTTGCTCGATATTTGTCGAGATAGAACAATGAATGAACGAGTGGATGGAGGAATGCACGAGCGTCTCATTTGCGTGGCCAATTTTGTTGAGCAACAGCAACGATTCGTCGCTCAATCCCTCCCTCATTGCTCCTCAAGTCACTCATCTCTCCCTAGTTTTCTCACATCCGGGGACCCCTCATTTCCTCCCCACTTGTCAACTCCTCCCGTGTCTCGCTGTCGTCAGAACGAATAAAGCACAGCAGCATGGGTAATTTATTATGATAGAACAGGCTAAATCCTCCTCAAATCGCTTAATCTTAATGCTCATGTAATCCCCTCGCCGCCATGCACCTGACTGAGATTCCATACGGGAGTCAATCGACTCTGGCTCGAAAGCTCCATTCACCGTTCTCCCTGAGAGGAAGAGCGGCAGCTTCTGTTGGCTTTTCACGAAGAGAGTGATCGGAACGATCCACTTGCCGAACGGGGGGGGGGAAGAGGGACGGCCGGGCTGCGCGAACTTAAATCATAATGCTGTGTCGATTCTATTTAAGTCGCTCAGCTCAGTGACAGCTATTAGACGACAATTGAGCTCGCATCGGAGCGAGGGATTTCTGTGGATTTCCACCTGCGATGCCAGCGCAACACACACATTGAAAGCCCACGGTAGTCGCTTGATCGATGGAAGTGTGTTCGGAGGGAGGAGGACGAGTAGCTAGCAGGGGGGTTAAAACACCTGCGGCTCTTCTATTGTCCTCAAGTTGTGCAAATTGCAAAGTCGACAAAGACGGACCGGCTCAATGAGTTGTTGCCGCTGCGCGTGTCGAGCAACTCTACGAGGCGGTAGAAGACGAGTTTTCGGAATTGATTTCTTCAAACTTTGGATTGAACGAGAAACATCGACGCACTCCTGGAATCCTGCCGCTTTCTCGAGGCAGCCCGGAGTCTCTGTTGTGGGGAGCGTGGGCAGAGACACAGGAGATTCGGGCTTGCACATCTCGATTGGTCGCTGGAGCCTGTTGTCAACCTGTGAAATGGCCGGTGGGGTCGCTGTTTTCCTCACTCACCCCCCTCCCCTCCGGAGTGGAATTGCAGTTCGAATATCTCCTCTGGGAGCAATAATGCAATTGCTCAACGCTACTTCGCGACTAATTATGTTAGCGCCGCGAACATTACGTTTATGGCCATACTTCCGCGGACAGCAGTCAGCACCCTGTCATTGTCACTAAGAGAGGGTTTTTCTTCAATTTGCAGAGCAATCGAACCGGGACAATATCAGGAGATACAGGACCGCCTTCACTAGGGAGCAGCTCGCACGCTTAGAGAAAGAGTTCAGCCGGGAAAACTATGTTAGTCGACCCCGACGTTGCGAGCTTGCTCACGCCTTGGATCTTCCCGAGGCCACAATAAAAGTCTGGTTCCAAAATCGTCGCATGAAGGACAAGCGTCAACGGCAGTCCTTCGGCTTCCCGTGCGATCCTCAGATCGCCATGTACTTTATGCACGCTGCTGCGGCGGCAGCGGCTGCCACTACTTACGGGCCCTATCCTCAAATTCCGGGGAATCTACCTTATCCCTACTATCCTGCGCCGATCCGTCAAGTTTCACCAGCCGCACTGCAGCTCCCGCACACTTTCCCCGTCGGGATTTCTCTCGCACCCTCAGAGAGAAGCAACTCACCGGCACTCACAACGAGCACCTCCGTGACTTCGACCAGCGCCACTCCGCAGATATCACCTTCTCAACCTAAATTATTCCGACCTTTTAAAGAGATCTAAACACATGATCGCAGAGCCACAATACCTAGTTGAAGCAGCTGTTGGGTATGACATGCTAGCTTCTCAAGCAATACAGTCGAGTTTCTTCTTATCAGCAGCGTGATTCGTAACCTACCTCACAGCAGCGCCTCTAAAAGCACATCTCGTCGGTGGAGGTTTTTCCACCGATATCACGATCTCAATCGAGACTATGGGGTATGCCGCCGCGCTGCTGTTATGCGAGCAACGTTTCCTAATAAATTAAGTAAGCATGCAAAAATGGTAAATTTCAATCGCAGCTGGTATTAGAGGGTCGGGTGTGGACATGTCCTGTGTCTTGAACTAGTCATCGTAATCATGGGTAGTGATTTGAACTTAGTCCGACTGAGCTGCGAGCCGGCTATCTTATTGGTGTTGTATATATTAGTAGCGAATTTGTAAATATTGAATATTTCGTATCCATTCAGAAAATAAATCGTCAGTCTCCACGGAATCTATGTTTTCTAGCATTTTTCTCTGCACGCGAGGTGGTTCGGGAGAATCTCTCGGTCGAACTGAAGACCCTCGAGATATTCAACGGTCTCCCAGCTTCCCAACGGGATCGCTGTCCAGGATCATCAGCCGACTCCGATTATTAGAAAATGTTTTTCTCGATCGCTCCGCTCGATGTTTCCAGGGCTGGTCCACGACTGCTCTGAGAGAAGTCCAAAGAATGTTTCGAGGAGAGGGTAGGGGGCGGATCCGAGTCAGTCCTGGGTAAACATGAGGGGCATAGGGGCACTCTTGGCGCTTCTTTGGGGGCGATTTCGCTAAATCCAGTCCCTCGGAAAGACTTCAATTTTCGCATTGAGTTGCTCGGAGCTCCCATGCCCAGAGAGTCGCACGTCTGCTACCGACGCTCTTCACGAGCCCGATCGGATTCGCCTTCAAAGCAGGAAGGGCGAGGGCAATGTGTCTGACGAGTGAGAATTCGTTGGAGGATCCTCCTGTTGGAACGCAGATCTGATCCTGACAAGGTCCATCGCTCTCCTCATTACCGAAATGATCGTTGAAATCTTGAGCTGAGCCCCATAAGCCAAGGGCAAGAAAACCAAACGGGGGAGGGTTGATGGGACTAATGAGCGTGTTATCGGCGCCTCTTCCTGATCGGGGAGCGAATTGGTCGACTCTGATGCCATCTCAATGTGCGGAATCGAGTTCTCCAAGAGTCGCTTCGTGCCCGGATTTGACTCCATCGGGAAATTCACTTTACCTCATCATTTAGTTCCCCTGATAATTCGAGGCTAGCTTACCTGAGGGCGACGAAATTCGCCTGAAATGATCAGCCGACGTCTACACCCCTGACTTTATTTGCCCACCGGCATGATCAGCCTCATTCACCCTCCTCGCGTATTTACAGTAGTTAAAACATCGCTTCCTATTTTCGGGCAAAAGGTACACCGCCCACCGAAGTTCTCATGGACTTCTCGCTGAGGCTGCAACCACTCTCACTAAGAGCATTCATCTCCTCCGTCTCCTCTCGGAACTCAGTCAGCTCCCTTTTCAATCCTTCCCCGTCCGGTCTAACATTGGGAAACGAACTAGAAATTGATGGCTTTTCCGGCGTATGCAGCCAAGTTAGCTTCTCGGAACGCCTCAGAGACAGTTGGGTGAGCGTGACAGACACGCGCGACATCCTCGCAGGAAGCGCCGTATTCCATGGCTAGTACAGCTTCGTTGATAATTTCACCAGCGCCCTGAAATGAGAACGCGGCATTAGCATGAGATTCACTCTCGCTCGATTTATAGGGGATAGGGGAATCTGCGGGATGCTTCCTCAGAGCGGGAGAGGGTACTGATACTTGACACGGTCCAATATCGATAATCACGGACGGCGCAGAGAATTCCCTCACCCATCCAATCATGTGAGCTCCGAGGATCCTGTCCGTCGCTTTGTCGGCGATGATTTTGACGATGCCATCTGTCTCAGAATTGGTCTTTGCTCTAGAGTTCGCGAGCAGAGGGAACTTTCCGACTTTGTACGCCGTGCCTTCCTTCTTGACGTCTTCCTCGCTCTTCCCGACCCATGCGACTTCGGGATGGGTATAGATGACACTCGGTACGCAGTTGTAATCGATGTGCGGCTTATTGCCGCTAGCGATCTGTTCGACGCAAATGATGCCTTCGTCTTCAGCCTTATGAGCCAACATCGGTCCGGGAATGCAATCTCCGATAGCGTAAATGTTCGGTACATTCGTCTGGAAGAGTTTGTTCACTTCGATTCTACCACGGTTGTCCTTCTTGATACCGAGTTCCTCCAAACCGAGGTTCTCGGTGTAAGGTCGCCGACCCACGCAGACGAGAAGAGCATCACATTGGATTTCCTCGTTTTTGGAAGGGTCTTTGGCGGACTGGAGCTGAACAGTGATGGTGTCCCCGGATTTCGTCGCTCCCATGACTTTTGTGTCGAGCTTGAATTTCATTCCTTGTTTCCCCAGGATTCTCTGGAAGTTTTTCGAGATTTCTCCATCGATACCCATTCCTCCGATGCTACCGAGGTATTCAACAGCGGTCACATGGGAACCGAGACGGCACCAGACCGAACCGAGCTCAAGACCAATGACGCCTGCTCCAATGACCACAAGTTTCTCCGGAACTTTCTTTAGAGACAGGGCGCCAGTGGAAGATACAATGGTATCCTCATCGATCTCGATTCCGGGGAAAGGAGTCACTTCCGAGCCAGTAGCAATCAAGATGTTCTTCGTTTTGATGGTGTCAACCGACCCATCGGATTTATGCACCGATACTTCATTCGGTCCGGTAATTTTCCCGTGTCCGTCGAAACGAGAGACCTGCGTGAGGTGAGAGCGTGAAACAACGACTATTGAAAGGCCCGACAACCCTCAGATCTCATGCCTTCCAATCCGCGTATCGCACTTATATACGAGCTCGGTCAGGTTCATCGAAGCGAGACCGTAGCTTTTACCTTATTCTGTTTGAACAGATGAGCGATTCCTCCGGTGAGCGCAGAAACGGCTTTCGTCTTCTGGTCCATGAGAGTGTCGAGGTTGAGACGAACATTGTCGCATTCGATTCCGCGCGACGCGAAACTGTGTATCGCCTCATGGTACAGATGGGAGTTGTGCAGGAGAGCCTGAGAATCGGAGGATGATAATTAGGTCCAAAGGTTCATTCAGTCTGAGTTGATATTCGATCTGAGAATCAGCTTCATCGACCTTAGAAGGTATGCAGCCAACGTTGAGACAAGTTCCACCGAGAGTTTCCCTCTTTTCAACGCAGGCGGTCTTCAAGCCTAGCTGAGCGGCTTTCACGGCGGCAACATAACCTCCAGGTCCGGAGCCGATGATCACCAAGTCGTGGTCTGCGCGGAAGGGACTTCTTGTGAGTTTTGTGAGTGAGGTTCCGCATTTTTCAGGTGGCGATTCGATGTCACTCGAATCACACGGTTTCGTAGGTTGTAGGGGGAAGTTGCGGAGAGGGAGCTACAGAGATCATCGGGTGGAAAATGATACTGCTCTACGACTAGGGAGAGGATGATGTCCAAAGGTTTTTGAAACATCGAATGTGAGGAGACTCGTCGGTCGAAAACTCAAAGACCCTTCTACAGCTCTCGAGGGATGGACAGAACTCTGGCTGGAATGAAACCTACTCACCTGGCGCTGCGGCATATCCCCTGCTGGAGAGCGCGCTGAGTGCTGATCGCTAGAAGAAATGAGTGAATTTAAGACTCCTCGAGCTCCGCCGAGCAGTCCCAGCTCATCCATAGTCTCCTGTTCCCAAGAGGAGACCTACGGCTTCGGAAAGAGCAGTTGTGGCACTGGGAACCCGCTTCCGGAACTGCGTGGAACACGGTCAGTTTTCTGCAGGTGCCCCAAGGGTCACCCCTGGGCACAATTTCTGGGCACCCCCAGGAAGGAGCTCCAACCCCAACTCACCGTCACGGTTGGAGTGATCCTGCTCAGAACTGAGGAGTTCATGGTGAATTTCGGGGAAGAAATCAGGAGCAGAGAATATCGTTAGTCTCTCACCCACAGTGGTCGGACTTCCACAGCAAGGACGACCCCGGCTCGAAACCACTCAGCACGTCAAAACAGTGGCGGAAAAATGTCCGCCAAACGCGTTTGACTTTTTGCCTCGGACATGATGGAGCGGCCTCGTTGACGGATCCCAGTATCCGAGAGACCCTGTCTGAGCTCGTCGCAACGATTGGTGGGCCTCGCTCGAGACGGAATTCCCCTGAGTGATAAGATTCCTGGCCTGGCAGCCCTTAGCAGACGACTTCTAGCGGGCGAAACTCCGCCAAATATCAGTTTCACTCTTCCTTCACGCAAAGACTGCCGTCAAAAGCGCACCGGCTACAAACTGTTTGCACTACTGTATTTTGTCAAGACGCCCGAAGCGGTCAACATGGGAAAACGAGCTGTTGCGGTTCTGAAGGCCGATGGCGTCCAAGGGACGATCTGGTTCACGCAAGAGGTGAGTCGATCAGAATGTCACATTAGCGAGATTGCGAGATTTGCTCTCGCATGTTATCGACGAATTCCGGAAGTCAGCAGCTCACTGTCGCGCATGCGAAGAGTGACGGTCTTCTGACGTGGATGGTGCTCATGAGGCAGTTGCTACGAATCTTCGGGTGGCGATCGCGGTGACACTGAGTCACGGTGAGTCCTCATTGGAACACTCGTGGTCTTCTTCGAGCCGGCGAAGGGCTGAAATTTCGATATCCCTCATGAGCGTGATGACGGTGCATTTTTGCTCGTTCGTTGGGCTCACTAGAGCAACTCGCCATCTCATCGATCCCTCTCCATAGATCACCTGCCTCTGTATCATTCCGAGGGCAGGTCCGCGGAATGCGTAATCCCTGGAAGGGGGAGTGAGCCTCCCGCGCAGTATTTTGATGGTACATGACGACGGTAGTGAACAGCGAGATCGAAATGACCTTGACGGATCGTTTACGCTCTCCCAATCGGGAACGATGATCGCCGCTTCAGGGAAAATGTGGTCGTGGAATTCTAGTCATGGCGAGCGATCGACTTGGACTTCCTGTAGGAAGGGCGAAGTAGAAGTAGAACAGCACCGCTGCTAGCCCACCACGCAGCTGCCAGAGGAAAACTTGACATGATCCTCTGAACAGCGGCTTTGACCCAACGCAAACTCATCTCTCGTTTGTTTTGCAGGGGGATTCCGTCAAAGTGACTGGCGAAGTCACAGGATTGAAGGAGGGGAAACACGGTTTCCACGTGCACCAGTACGGCGATACTACCAATGGCTGCGTATCAGCAGGAGCCCACTTCAACCCGACGAATAAAACCCATGGGGGACCGTCCGACGAGGAACGTCACGTCGGAGATCTGGGGAATCTCATCGCCGACAAGGATGGAAAAGCAAAAGTTGACATCGTAGATAAGTTGATCGCTCTGGAAGGTGCTCATTGCATCATCGGAAGATCGCTTGTCGTCCACGCCGACGAAGATGATCTCGGCAAGGGTGGTCACGAACTTTCGTCCACAACTGGTAACGCGGGAGCTCGCGTGGCGTGCGCGGTGATTGGACACGCCGCCGATGCATGAAGCAGCACCAGTGGTCTCTAGAAACATCGATGGAACGAGCATACAGCTAGAAAGTCCAGACGTTTCGGTTCCCCGACGACCTACGATTGAGATCGAAGGGCGGATAGCATCGAAGGATTTTAGCAACTCCACCCTTTATCACACGATAGCTGAAGCCCAAGTCCCTTGTATGAGAAGGTACTTTGCAAATAAATGCACTGTCCATCTTTGCCCTTCCTCTCTGAGGATGTTTCTCCCTCTGCTTGTATCAACTGAAATTATGTCTTGGGAGTGAAATTCATGGATGGATCCGATCTCGTGGCAATCGGTAGTGCGTAGGGGGTTCCGGCGACCGCGCACAAGTTCATCCCGAAGGGGAAGGATACATAATGGAAATGAGTCATCGTTCATTATCGTTTCCTGTCTTCCTCGATTTTATTCTCTTAGTCTCGGAAATCTATTCTGGTAATCTTCGTGGTCATTCGTTCCAGTGTGACTTGTGTTTTCGGTGACAGAAGGTGCTCTTAGCGAATTAGTTATCAGTTGGTCCTCACGCCTCGACTGGACGGAGGCTCGTAAGGAAGTTGACCTCCGAGTGACGCCCATTCTCTGTTGAATTCTTCCTCGAGTATTTCGGCGCCTTTCTTCCTCGCCAGGCCTGTTTCTTCCAGTTTCAACTCGCACATCTGCATATCATCCCGACCGGTCAGGAGCAGCAGAGCGGGTTTGTTAGGCGACATCTCGATTTGGCGGGCGATGAATTGGCCGTCAAAATGCGCAAACCACCATCCGGAGACCGAGTGTACATCGCGTTTGAACGGAATCTTGAAGTAGCGTTGTCGAGGCGGTCCTTCAATATAAAATGACCATCATAACGATCAGGCTCGGATACGATCGAATCCAGGAATCCAGGATACGCACGGATGGGAAATCATGATCGAATTCAATGAACTGAAAAGGAACGCTCGGGTACCTGACTCCGGCGAGGGTGCAACTCCCGCGTGATCAGCCGTAGGGAGCCGAAAAACTTCGTCTTTGGAATCGGGTCCTTTCTTCGCGTTCCGACTCTTCCAAGCGTGATACACTTTCAGTCGTCGGTAGAACTCCTCTCGGCAAGCTACGAGCAGCTCGAGGTCACACGAAGTGTTGATGACGTCACGAAGCTCCGAATACTTCCACTTCGACAGGTCATACTTGCCCGCTGGGATGGAGTCTGCGAGGGAGAGAAAGACTTCAGCATTCGCTCTAGGTTTCTGCTCTTCCGCGGGGACACTTCATTCGCGGTAGTCTCGCGCGAAACGACCCACCTTTGCCCGTAGACCCAATGCTCGACGGCGGGCTCTGATCCTCGACCATGGAGTTGTTTTCCTGAGCCAAGCGCATGGCCAACTCGCGGTCACGTCTTTCTTGTTCGAGTTTGCGCTGCAGTTCGATGAAGCGTTCCTCCTGAGCCTTACGTTCAGCATCGGCGGCGGCAGCCATCGAGGATTCTGTTCGTGCTCTCTCTTCCTCTTCTCGTCTGCATCTCTCAATCTCGGCCTGCAAGACATGATTCGTCGAATCAGTGTAACCCAATACCCTTTGAAGTTCAGCGCAAAGGTTTCTCAGCTCTAAACATCTATGATCCGAACTTGAGCCCCCCGGAGTATCTCACCTTTTGCCTCTTGGTTTCCTCTTTCTTTCTCTCTTCCTCCTCCTTGAGACGCTGAGCTTCGCGGACCTGCTGCTCCACCATCGCGCATTTCACTTTTTTCGCCAGTCCACCGAGCGAGCTCGTGAGATCGTTGCAGCTCTTTTCGATTAGGACTCGATCGACAGTTTCTCCATTTTTTATTCTACGGGAAAGATTCTTCACCTGATTTTCGAGATCGGCGAACTCCGAAATTTGACTGACGATGGTGGGTGCGGTGGATTTCTTCATGTCTGCGAGTTGCTTGAGAATGGTTTTGAGCTTCTTGAGACCTTGGATGCGACCACCGTACTGTTTCCGCGCGAGGTACCCTCTGACGGTTTTCTGTATGATCACGAGATTCTGTCGACGGTATTCGATTTTCTTCCGGAGTTTGATGACGCAAAGAGCGCACCATTGAGCCTTCTTGAGTCTCGATATCACGAGCCACTTGCGGACCTTCGAGATGAGTTGAGCGAGACTGGCGGGATCGGATTTCATTATTTCGTCGAATTCGGCGAACTTGCCGGGGCGGAAGAAGATTTTGGTGAGCCCGAATTTGAAATCGTTGTTGCGGAGACCGAGGGCCATGAAGAGCGTTCTACAGAAAAGCCGTGGATCCAGCGAAGCCAAGTCCTTCGGTAAATAGCTCTTGTACTTCTCGTACAGCTCTCTGAATGGAACCCTTGAAGGGAAACCGGTCTGCATCAGCTCGAGAACCGAAGTCATCCCAGAGCAGCCCAGCTGATTGAGAACTTGCGGTCCTTCGAAGATTTTCGATTCCATTTTGTTGTTGGGTTTTATGCACCGTACGAAATGAGTTCCAGTAGCCTCGAGTTTCTTCATCAGCTCAGCCAGCTGCTTCCTGAACTTGGCGCCAACCGAAACGAAGCGCAACTTGCCCTTGCCAGAACTCTGGGGACTCTTGGACAGGAACAGCGATTTGACAAAGGGGTTATTCGAGTCTAGGACAATCGCTTCGAGCGAGTCGTGCAGGGCGTCGTTATTCTTGTCGAGGAATTTTTCGGTCTGGTAACATACGGCGCCGGCGAAATGATGGATTAGGAAACCGTCCTCGTCACGGAGTTCCCGGTGAGCTTTGAGTTTCGACTTCCGAGGTATGCTGATTCGGAAGTGTTTTCTATGCGTGGAGTGTACTTGAGATGTGAAGTGCGCCGCGGTTCCGGTCGGCAGATGACTCTCTTCGTCGAGTATCTCGAAGATTCCGGTGTTCTTCGCTTCGAGAAGATCGATGCAGTCGGAATTGTCGGTGTACGCGATCCGCTTTACGCCGAGACCTTCTTTCTCGTAGAGATTCTGTTCTTCGTTGAGGATTCGATAATTGAAAAACTGCTGCAGTTTTTCATTGCAAAAATTAATACAGAACTGCTCGAAGCTGTTTGACTGGAAGTACTCGAAACCGGCTATGTCGAGAACGCCGATATAGTAGGCGCTCTGCTTGAAGGGAATGCTCGAATTGATCGTACCGACGATGAAGTCGAAAAGTTTCGCGTAGAGAGCCTTCGCGAGCGCGTCTCGGGCGCTGTTGGCTTCGTGGGCTTTAAGAGGGACCATGTAGACCGTGCCCTTCACTCCCCCTTTCGACGTTATCAGGCGTGACAGAAGCGACATCTGAAGTTCTTCAGGATCGACTCCGATCAGCGTGGCGGCGTACTTCAGGGCGATCTCGCTGGTTTTATCTCTCAGCTTGCTGCCTCCTTTCTTGTCGTCCGGATTCTCTTCGAATTGTACGTTTCCCAAATGGAGAACCGCGGCAACGATCGCGTAGACGTAGAAACGGCGCTCCTTATCGAGCCCGATTAACTCGAGCGACTTGTCGAGACGCTTGAAATCCTCGCTGTCGTCGAGCACGGGATCTTTAAGCGGACCTTGTTTCTGATGGTCTTTAGAGGCTTTCGTTGAGTCGAGTTTGTTGCTACTGCTCACGAAGTACCTCGTGAGCCCGCTCCGCAGATAATTATAGTTGTCTGGGTTTGTGAGACCCAGTTTCTGCCTGAGATCGTTGTCGGCTCCAGCGAGGAGCTGGTAGAAGATGTGGTAGTTCCGTTCGTCTTTGGATTGGCTGACTATTCTCGACTTTTCGAGCAGATAGTGAGAAATGTATCCGCCGACGACGCTGTAGTCGTTGCCGAAATGAATTTCGATGAACTTACCGAATCGCGACGAGTTGTTGTTCCTCATTGTTTTCGCGTTTCCGAAAGCTTCGAGAATCGGATTGGCCTCGAGAATTTTCTGTTCGATGGGTCCGGCGCTGCTCCCATCACAGAGGTAGCGTAGGATGTATTTCGTGGATTCTGTTTTTCCCGCGCCAGATTCGCCCGACACAATAATAGCTTGTGAATTCTTCCCGACCCTCATATCGCGAAAGGCTTTGTCTGCGATTGCGAACACATGAGGGGGCAGCGAACCTAGCGACTTGCCCTTGTACGACTTGATTGTATCCGACGTGTAGAGCTTCGGTATCTCGAAGTAGGGGTTAACTGCGATGAGGATGTTTGCGACGTAAGTGTAGATTTTATTTTTGTGATAGCGAACTCTGATATTGTTGAACAGCGTCGCCTCATTCAAGTAGACCAGTGCGCAATTGTCGTCCACTTCTTTGTTTGGATCTTCCTCCGCATAGTGAACTTGCGCATATGTGGCTTCGATGGTTTTCGAGGCCACGCGGACGGAGATTCTCTCGGCTCCGATGTCGATCACGTGTCCGGACACGTAACCCTCGTCGGGGTGTGCTACCCATACGGACTGATTATCGACAAGATTGACTGGAAAAAAACAGGAAGATATTATTGAGTCGGCTTCGGCGATGAAACATAACGATTCTGTAATTAGGGGAGCATCCAGCCGGAAGGGAGCTTAATTAACGAGGAGAAGGTGCTCGTTGATTCAAGCGTTTAAGAGACGAGATATCTCGCTCCAACTATTATACTTTCCCCGCTTTCTTTCTCTGGTTCAGTGCCGTGAGAATTCCGCTCCGCTCCTCCGATTTTCGCTAGTGAAACTCCCCCATCTAAACCTCGCGTTTTTTTACACACATGCGGATGTGTGGGGAAGTCACGATGATGATGATGATGATAAGCAATCGGCCACTCGTTCCCACCCAGAACACTGAAGATCTCGATGGACACCCGTTGAAATATTGATTAGGCCCTTGCGGAAGGTTTCCGTGTTCCATTGTCCTCTCACTGAACTCGCAAGAAGAACTTTCTTCTCCATAGAAGCAACAGGAAGCGGACTGAGCCGAGCCGTTGCGGAAGAGAATAGCGAAACAGTGAATTGCCCATCTTCCCAGATATAGATTCTGATGATGGGAATGTCACGCGATGTGAATCACAGCGACGCACGTTTTTTTTCATTCTCATTTTCGGAATCTCTTCTCTGCGTAGCCCGCGCCCGCGTCGAACGCTCGGACTTCGCTGACGTCGCGTGACAAAATGTCGCCACGTTTTAGATTTTCTCACTTCTAGTCAAATATCCAAGAGGCTATTCGGACGGATAAGCTGTTTCTTGAACTAGTGATTGCGGCGAGGCGGTCTGGTCGGGGGATATTTGGATAGTTCGGGAAAAACCGAACGCACGAAGTGCCGAACAAACAAACAGAAGAAGGATGAAGGCATGAAAGACTCAGGCGAGCCGGCAGCGAATTCACGGCAATCATTCGCGGAGCAAAGTGGAGCAAACGTGATCTTCGTGGGAGACGACTGACGTGGCGCACGAGTAGCTGCCGCCAACGAAAATCCCTCGTTCGTTGTTCGGCATTCATCTGTACCGCGAATGATCCACTCAACTCGTGAAGGATTAGGATTTTAGCCGATCTGGCTGCAAGGGTTTCTTCCTAGAAACGAACGCGCTCTTCCGTATGCATCGGCGATTGGTGCCATGGTTCTCCTTGATAAGCATCCGAAGCAGGGGTAAAACAAAGTGCGCTCCTTGTGTGTCAATGCAGGAGCGACTGAGCCGCGAAATCTGACCACGCTTGGATTCTACATGGCGCTGTCGGGAATCTGGAAATCGCTGGCGGATCTCTTCACCGTAGCAGCGCGGCCAGCGAGCTGATATTGTGGGAAAGCTTCCTCCAAGCTTGAAGTTTCACCGAAACAGGCAGCGGCTCAACGATAATCTCGGATTCTTCCGATTTCTTAGTCGTCTGTCGCTCATCCTCACTGCATATCTCTGTGTGTCAGTCAATCCGTGAATCCGTCCGTCTGTCCGTCAAACCGCTCGTATGTCCGAGTATCCATTCGGCAGGCAGTCAGCTGTTTCGTCGCTGTGTGTGGCTCTGAGTCCAGGTCGGTCTTCCTCTATTTCGTTTTTCATTCTCCGGGCTTCACGACAAAGCCGGCGCTGCGTAGTCGACGGCTCGCCGGTACACATCAGCTGAGCCACTCGACTTTGACTGCGGATGAGGAACTGTTCCCCCAGAACCTCGCGATAGACGGAACTTCGAGCCGGAGCGTCAGCAGCGACAGCAGCAGTTGCCGCGGCGGCAGGATCATCGAAGAGCCGACGGGCTTGTGTGACTGGCTGAGCAAAGCTGAACCGAGCGAAGCCGAACTGGGCACTGGGATGCGACACAAAGGACCAACCGGAGCATGACTCAATAGTGTTGCTTGCCTGACAACACAGGCGAGCGGGTGAGGTAGCGAGCGACCGCGACCCTAGCAGCCAGCCTGCTCAAACGCCAGCGAAGCAGTTTTTGCTCATCATTATCGTTGTCGACGCCATCGCCATCTGCATGATGATCATCATCATTTTCATTCCCATTTGAGTCATTCAGGTTCACTTTGGAGCTCACCCAGTCATTTGGTAAACTATTCTTGATTTCAATCGATTACGATGCATCAGAGCTCTAGCTCCGCCGCGCCGAAATTTCCCAGAACTTCGCCACCGATCGACGGCACCGTTTCACGGCATTTACGGCAGCTTCGAAAGCGGAAGCATTTCGGGAGGGGCTCCGAATCCCCCTCCCGCGAACTCAACAAGCGGTAGCCGTCTTCGCAGACCGGGAGCGAGAGCTTCCTCGGAGGCAATTTGGCTTTACACAGGTCTCTGAACGAAGTATGTAAATAGTTTCCGGTCCAAATCTTCTCTTCTTCTGAGCAGAGAAAATCTCCGCCGATGACTGCTTCCCCTCGGGATCAGCTGCAAGGAGCCTCCGCTTCTTTTTTTTTCCGCCGGGAATTATTCCATCCAGTGAGAACGATAATTGGAGGCGTTGCTTCGCTAAGCTCTTCGGAAGAAAGACCGGCGAGGGGATTGCTGAGAGAATCTTTCCGGCTAGATGAAATTTGCCTCGCATCCGATCGATACCTCGAGCTTTTCCTCCTCGCCGCGGAGCTACAGCCAGATTAGCCGAGACGTCATTCTCATCGGAGGCTGATCGGATGCGATATTTGTTTCTCAAGTGAGATGAAAGCGCGGAGAAATGCGGGAAAGCGGTGAAACTCGGGATAAATGCGCTTCCGAATCCCAAGAGCTTTCAGGAGCTCGGACTCGCTGCAACAATCGGATTCGAACCGACGCTGGCAAAATAGCCGTAGGTTTCCTCTGGAATCCCGCGCGAAGTTCCGGCATAGAAGCCACAAAGAACAAATCATGCAATCATCGGGACCGCACACTTGTCAAACGATAAGCGGGTCTATGTCTTCGACGGTCAGGCCTGTCAGTTTTCGCCGGTGAAAGCGGTGGCATATTTTGCAGACGAAAAACTGTACCGTCACGGAACCGGTACAGTTCTGAGAAAAATCTGTGGTCGAAGATATCATTTGTTTCTTCGGAAGCATCAGCCTTCGAGTCATTCCTCTCGATCATCGCTTTCGTGCGCGAATGATTCACCGCTTTGGAACTGCGGGTTCCTTAGGAAGCCGCTGTTAGCGTGTCTGATTGCGGATGAGACGAACGGTGGTCGACTGGGAATTTCTCTATCCGAGAAGTATCCGCCGTCGACGAATCAGTCAGGTAAAGGTTGGTTTGTTTGTCCTTTTCCATGGTTGTCCCGACATCTGCCTGCATTTTGCTTCAGCTTCTTTATGAAGCAACGAAGCTCAAAACGGCGAGTCAGCGAGCTCGCGAGTCAACGAGGAGGCGCCGCTCCCGCTGCGCTCTAGAAAGCAAAGTCAGAACGAGATGTGGCTTTTGCAGCTGCCACTGCCTGCTGCTACCTTCTATTCTCACTGCTTTTGGTGTTCGGAAAAGTTCGCCGACGGATGCGCGGGCGCAAACTGAGCTGAACAACAAGCGATTCAAGCAACGAACCAAGCGAGCGGCCGACCAAGCGAGCGAGTCGAAGGAGGCCACACCGAGCAACTTTTGGCCAATATTTTGTGTCGTCTGTTTTTTTTCGTTGAAAACTTTTGCTCGTCTTCTGCTTTTTCATCCCTCCCCTCGGTGGCCGACACTTTCGTTGCTCGAATGTGTCGGCCGCCCGGTTTGTTTCCGTTCGTGGGCCAGTTAGTCGCTTGGTTGGTTCGTCGGCGCCTCCGAGTGAAGAAAGTGCAAGCCTCAAAATAGTTCTACAGGGCTTCGGTAGCGCTCGCCTCCGTACGATAATTCATTGCGGAAGAGAACTCACAGGGCCAGACAGAAAGCTCGTCCACAGCTCCGGCACCATCGGGGCGTTCGAGACGTCGAATGGTGAACCTCAAGTCGGGCAAGCACTTGAGCTTTCAACTCAATTGTCTCCTTGTGGCAACCAAGGAGACAATTTGCTGATACGACGAAGAGGTGGTCCAAGAGCATTTGACCGTGTGGTCTGGGCGAGTTTGGAATCGATCCCCTCGCCGAACCTTCCCGATTTTGTCACATCGAAGAAGGTCAATGATTCGATGTTCGAACATCCTTTCCGAAACCATGCGATCCAACGTCGGCTCATAATACAGTTCATTGACGCGTCCCAAGCTGATGAACGGATCGCTAGGGTTCTTCGACAATCAGAGGAACGTGCCCAATCATCGCGATCCGACGCGCAATCGTAATGTGAGGAGGGAGCACGAACTCAACGAGACAAAGATCTCGGTATTTCACTCCGGGAGCAGCTCTTTAGATCATGTTGTACAGCTGAAGATGATATTCATGGGATGTTGAGCAGAATACAGAACGCTGGTCAGGAAGATGACAGGCATCCCAGACCGTTCGGAATACAAGCTTGACGGTAAATACTTCACGAACAAATGAGAGCGCAGTTCAAATCGTGCGTCAGACGTGGAAGTGCTCGATGTGAGGGCTATACGGGAACCCTCATATTCGCTTTCTGGCTTCTGACCTTCTGTCGCTAGAAGTCAACGATTCGGACAGGGAACGAGCGGGCAAGCGAGTAGGCGGGCGGGCGGGCGGGCAGAAAGATGTCCCAAATACATGCCCATGGCAACAGTCAAGAAACAATTAGAGGAATGCTACAGATTAATCACGGATCAGACGCCCGATGAGTCAGTCTGACCTTGTGTCCCATACGCGATGGATTCATTGTCAGGCTCAGGCAGACAGCCCATCATCGATACAAAACACGCCGGCACTCCTATTCTATATAGACCGTGACAATTGGCAGCCATGTCTGTATCAAGACCCAGTTTATGAGCTCTTTGGAAACGACTCTCGACAGCCAAGTGTCGCGTTCGCTCCCATACCTCAGTCAAAGAGTGCGAGTACGTACATAACTCGCATGCGTAACTCAGATCAGAAAGAACGGGGGAGCCCATCGAAACCGTCCTCCTTCCGAGCAGAGTAAGCGCGAGAATCGGTGGCTAACTTTCAGCCCGGAGCCGCCAGACATTATGCCTAGACGGCCTCCAGCTCCGATGACAAACAGACTAGGAAGACCCGTAGCTTCTCTGAAGCCTGCCGTTAACCACTCGCTAACAGGATGCGCCATTCAACAGAGCGTAGCTTCTCGAGGCGGATTTCACTCGTGGCTATCTTTGGCGGAACACTTCCGACGAGTATGACCGCTACTCGCAACAAATTCGCCTGTCCTCCTGCTATAAAATCATCGGTCATAAAAAAATCTTCTCCTGCGAACCTAGATGTCGGTGAGGCTGGAACGTTCGACACACGTAGCTGACGCTTGTGAGAACTCGGGACAAAAATCTCGCTGGTCAATGATCGGCCCTCGTGAGCGAGGTACCGAGATGTGAAATCGATGAGTCATGATTCGCTGCAACGCTTGCGAACCGGTGTGGGGATCGTTCGCGGAGCGGTATAAAGCGATTCGCTGCCTGGAGAATCGTGAGAGGTGAAGAGTTGAAAGAAATCCCTCATCTGGAAGCTCGCACACTGATATCCCACTCATTGTAAGCTATGAGAGTCTTCCGATGGTCAAGTCGAACGCGTTTAAAGACTCATTATGCTGTTCCGGGAAACTCGCTGGTCGCTGGTAATTAGAGTATCCGAGCGTATCGATACTTTTTCCAAGAAGGGGAAAAACTGTTCTTGCGATCGGTTCGGGGAGTTTCGCTCCGATTTGTTCATTTGCTCGATCTTCACTCCCGATCCGTTCTTAGGGTAAAGACCACTTCGCGGTACGAGGCCCGGCATGCTATTGTTGTTCTCGTGGATGGGTTTCCTCTATGAGGTATAATGAGATACGATTCGATTTGCAAGTTAAATTCAGCCGAATACGAAAGTTCAACCACAGACAAAGACAAAAGAGAAGGGAAACAATTACATTTGACTTCTCTGCTTCTATCGGTCATCAGGAGCACCAGAAGCAGCAGAAGAACGAGACGAACGATATGCGTCCTGTGCTTACAGAGAGAAAATTTCGAGAGGTACCCGAAGCTTCGCGAGACTTTCCGACCCAGACTCCTCCGAAAGACAGGAATAACAGAATTCCGTTAGTACCATGAGTGGCAGACGCTTCTTTGGCGAAAGTACCTCATGTCCGTTGAACACAGAAAAAACTGAGGCAAAAATCAGATGTTCTCATCGCACGCATGGTTTAACGACGACGGTGCGGCGTTGGCCCGTTGAGATCCCTGGACCTAGTGTTCAGGCTATGGCTTGTCGAGTTGATGAAATGCCTCCTAACGTAAGACGGAGGAGGCGGCGAGAGGAACATGCCCAGCTTGGAATGGAGAATATTCCACCCCCTGCCTGGCAGCTCTCGAAGTCCGCTCTCCCTCGCCGTCCTCATGGATTCCGTCCGTAGAGTTAAAATCAGGGGCGATACGAAAGACTGCTCGAGAGTAATGTCGACTGGTAGATTCCCTCCCACGGCGAATCCGCGATATCCCGAATCGATCGAGTTACTCGGGACGACGCGACGTACTGGTCACATCATTAAGCGTCTTCTTGAAGATCTAGTCTGTGAAAATTCGGTAGAGGTTGAAGAGTCTCGCCCACGCAGATTTGAGTGTTGCTGATTCTCGTCGATGTACGAGCAATCTTGACCGAACTTGAGCAGCGAACGAGCGCGCAAGCGAAACTGGACTCTTCTTGTTTCTTGTCCGATGCAGATCGCTGTGTGGTGTACACACATGAACGCTAAACCGAGAGTTAGCTCCGGAAAGGTAAAAATAAAAGGCTGGCGCAACTCGGTGAATAACGTCAGTAGACAGACTTCATTTAAATACTCGGAAAGTGTAATGCGTTTTTTTCCAACTCGCTGACTCACGACCGGTAAGTCAGCTGTGTAAGCAGGGATACTACAGATCATAGACACTCGTGTCAGAACGATTGAGAGAACTGTTTCGTAAAACAACCGAAGCCAAGCGAACCCAGTAGTCATCAATCGTTCCGGTAAAGGCGTCGGAGGTAGTTTTCGTAAGTCGAAGCACCACCGTTCCGACTAGAGGAGCTGCGGTGACAGGAAAAGTCTAGAACTTCGTTTGCCCAGAGCCATATGCCGGAGTCATATTTTTCTGAAACATATACCGAACAGCCAGCTTCGTCGAAAGCGAGCGGAACTTGTGGACGATGTCTGCTGTTAGCTAGTGCCGTTCAACGACAGGACCGGTGATGTCCCCATTCGAAGTCTGTGGCGCTGACTGACGGTACGAACGGCGGACGGGACGCTCCCGATCCCACAGATCTTCGATACTTAACAAAGCGGCCACATTGCGAGGAGTGACTCGCGGCCGGACTCACCCATTCTGTCGAAAGCAGTATCCTTTGGTATCCTTAATCACAACGGATGAATATCACGGCTTTGGCAGAAGCCGCTCTGCGGCTGAGCCAACGGTCGAGGAGTGACGTGTGGCCACCGCGCCGTCTGGCTCCTCTGGCGGCGAATGATTCTGACACGGACGGAGCTGGAAAGGGTGACGTGGATGGATGAGGAGGGAGTGACGGTCGCCGGAGCAAAGACTGTTCCTCCTGTTCGCGGAGGTTTTCTATCTTCAGTATTGGATAAAGTCGAGCACGTGGCCGATGGATGAACGTTCCGATTCGGCCACTCTCGCCAGACTCCTCGGCTCCAACGGGTGCCGGACTCCGGACTCTTCTCCGTCTTTCAAAAGTAGAGACATCCGCTGGAGCGCGGATGGATCTGCAGTCGAAGATCCATCGCGCGCGGAGCCGCCCGCCCCGGGAGATCTTCCCGGAGAACGTTGAGGTCCGTTGGAGTTCGAGGACGAGTTGCTAAGTGTTTGAGTAGGACAGCCCGAATCGGATGGGGTTTGCTTGTTTGCTCGATCGTGCACATGTGTATTGTTGTAGTTCACCGAATCGCGTTCGTTTCGTGGTCGACAGAGCTACCGATGCGTGAAAAGGGGCCGCTTCCTCTCCACAGATGGCGCCACTGGATGCTCAGAGCGCCCAGTTCCTCTTACGTTCTGACGGAGAGAACAAATAAACTTAGAATTTGTCTCGACGTACCGCTTCCGGCTCAGCGCGGCAGGCGGGTGCCGTCTAAAAAATCGAGCACCTCCATGTGCGCCGGGCATGGAACGATTCTTGCCATTCCTCCATTCGTTCCCGGACTTTTTCCCCGCGAAAATTGGCAGAGGGGGCGATTTTCCTTACGAGGGAGCTTTAGGGGGTCGGTGTGAGATTTCGAGTGAGGCGCGAACCGCTCTGGACAATAATTATTGTTATAAAATTATAATTAATTTTGATTGGCTTCAAGCCTGCGAGTCCGTGCGCTCGATTCTGATTCCGAGGATCCGTTGACAGATGAGCCGACGGTCGAAACCAATGAGGTCGTCGAAGAACTTTATTCGTCTATTGGAATATACATGAGTGAATTTTATAAGCTAAATGCTGTTCACGGGATCTGCAGGAGTGATCTCCCGACAGGGTGGCACATGTCACAATCAAAAATCATCGAGAGTCGGGTGTGTCGAACCACGAAGCAATCCAAGCTCAGTGATCTTCGTGGAGGCACGTTATTCGGAGCAAGGGAGACAAATAGGGGAAATGTGAGCCTACCAATCATGATGCTCATGGACATGGAAATGATGATGATGATGATGACGAGGTCTACGAGCCTTCACGACTAGCGGGATGTGGTGGTAGGAGATCACCGGCTTGGAAACATAATGTATGGACTTCACAGGCTTGTGCACGTATGTGATCACGGGTTTCTTCACATAATGAGTAGTGATGATGGGGGTCTCGACGTAATGCACCTTGGCAACTTTTTTATGGGTCACGTGGTAAAGGTGATGACCTCCGTGGTATCCACCGTGAATTGAAGTGATGAAGAGTGCAAAGCAGACAAAAGCTCCAAGAGCTGTGAGTTTACTCATGTCCAGGGTGTTTGCACCGGGGAACGGCCCCCAGTTCCACTGTCTGCCCTTTAAAACGTCGTCGTGTGACTCTTTCTCTCGATTCCCAGGACAGACTTTGTTCTTGGAAACCTTGACGAAATGTCAACTACAAGTACCAAAAACTTGGGAGTTTGTTGTGCGTCAGGTCTTGAATCGGTGTGGGAGGAAATTCCGGTCTAATTTTTAAGTTGCTTCGTTTTGTGTCGAGATACGAAAAAAAGAGCGATTCTGTATCATAGTTGCAGGCTTGCCGCTCGCACAGCCGTCGATTGGTTTCGAATGCAAAGTCGGGAAAACCATGAGAGCGTCTTGCGGACCTCTCCGCTGCTTCAAAATCGCTAATCGTCGGATTACCTCAAGAAGATCTGGATGGCGCAAAACCGTTATCAACTCTGGACTATAACGTTCCTCTTAGACGTTGTTCGATCAATTCGCTCCTTTTTCACAAGACCATCTGAACTCCGCTGGCGAATCTAATCGTAAGAATCCATCCTACGCCAACATGCTTCACTTGCTCCCCTTACCGAAAGTTACAGGTCTAGGTCCCAATCGATGAACGTGGGAAAATGCGGAGGCTCGTCGAACCTTTTTTACCGGCCGTGACCGTGACCATCACGAATAGAAACGTCGGAGGGTTGCGATCACATTGATGTCAGGACTGCAGGCTGAGAAGTCCGGTCATTCGGATAGCCGCCGAGTGATTCAAAGAGCCCTTCTTCCCCGGAATATCATCGTCCACATCCGTATAAGATTGGCTTTTTGAGATCTGCGACCTTACTCGGGCGAAACTTCATCAACGAGGGTTTTTTCCGGGATAGTGAGACACAACCAGAAGGAAAGAATGAATCCGAGAGGAGCGACGGAGGCCATATCCGCAAGTGTCGTACTCATCCGTCGGATCTATAAATTAGACGTAAGCGGATCAATTCTTCAGTCGCCGTTGCTGCAAATGATCAAACAGAGGATCTCGAGAACGTCACTTTAGCTGTTCCATCGCGGAGCCCTCAGCTGACCGCCAGCGGCTCATTTCTCCCTTATGCCCGCGTCGGCGAAGGCAGCGATATCCCTGTGTGAGGTGATGTAGGAATAGTATACGCCGTGACCCAGACTGCTTCTTCGGATATCTATCGAAAATCTGTCCTCGCCCATCGGAGATCAGAGACAGAGAGTTTTCGACCTGTGCGCCGGTGGAATGCCTCTCTCGGGCGAGTCTGTAGAGAGGGATTTCTCGCGAGAATAAATATTCTGGTCGAGGTCGTCATCGCCTATTTTTTTATTCACAAGTTCGAGGAATCACCACAAGCATCATTCAATACCGACATGTTTAGTTCGCTGAACATGATCTACCAACCGTGTCCGTATCCTTTGCTTATCACGGGGACCGAGTGGAGGGACACAACAGGTTTCGATACGTAATGGATGGATTTGACCGGTTTATGGACGTAGCTGACCACAGGCTTCTTGACGTAATGAGTGGAAACAACAGGAGTCTTGACGTAGTGTACCTTCGCAACTTTGGCGTGGGACACATGGTAGTGACCGTGCCCGTAACCGCCATAGCCTCCGTAGCCTCCACAGTTGACCGATGCGATCAGGAGGGAGGAGGCGAAGAGAGAAAGGACGATTCCGGAATGCATGTTGATTGAGATAGTTCAAGCTTCTGATCCGAGAAGCGAGCAGCGGGCACGATATATATACTGCCTGACGGAAACGAACCCAGATATGAGAGGGGTCTCCCTCGTCAAGGTTTGAACCTTCAAATGCTGACTCCGATTTCTACTGATAATTTCTGTGGGAAATCGAGAATAGAACTACAAAGGCACTTTCGGCGGTATAGTGGCGTCCAATAAAATTCAGCTTTAAACTATCAGAACTGTTTAACTAACAAACCGTGCAAGTAGCGGACTTGACGGTCAAACGAATCTTCGCCAACCAACTGTTCTCTCCTTCAGTTCGCTTGTGTTCGGGGCTGATATGTAGTTGGGAATGGTTCACCAGAAAACCCTCGAGAATTCCCCGTTGATACCGAGACCTCAGAAGCGCGAATGGGAAATGCGCTGTTACTGGGTGGGGGAAGCGGGCGAATCCGACCTCTGATCCCCATCCTCAGGAGGATGTGCAGGGCCGACGTCGCGGATCTTTGTTCCGAGAAAGCTGTTCTCCGAGCTCCGAGCTCGGGTCTTGCAACTCATCAAACGTGATGTCATCGGTGTCGGAAATCATGCGATGCTTTAGTCGCCGCAGAGATTATAAGGAGATTCCGCCAAGCCCTACACGATGTAAGCACAACACCAAAAGCGCGAAGATAACTAATTCTGATGACTAAGTCTGATCGGTGAGCAATACAGAAAGCTTTCGGTACCCGGTAATTCGAGGGCCGATGATCGATTTGAAGATTTTTCGACAGTAAGGATGAAATTCCGCTTTAGATCTGACCGGGGAGCCCAAGTATGAATGTTTAGGGGCTATCGCCACTACGAGCTTCCGATATGACCGGACAGATTCGATCGGTCCCATGAGATTCGCTATAACGGGGCTCAAATGAATTCCTTGACATTATGATTAAGACCGTCAGTCACGATTCAAGGCAAAAGTGCGGTATTTTAAAGATTTTCACGATATCATAGTTCTATTCGTAGTTCACTGCTATAGCACTTTCTCCGTAAAGCAGCGAAGCGTCACGGAAGTTGCTGGAAGTCAAGGAAACTGGATAGTGACTTTCAAGCTCCGGCCAGAAATCCACCCTGGTCTAGCTTTCCTACAGAATTTTTTCGGAAGTGTGACCGTAATAATCTGTTCTTGTAGCATCAGCGCTTCCTGTCGCTTTTGTGCGAAAAGTCTGGGAGTACCGGATATGATACCCCAAGCTGTTGACCCTCATGCGCGCTCGGATGGGTGCTGATCCGACACAGTCCCTTGGCGATGTTTTCATCTTTTACGTCAGCATTGGTTCCGGGCATTGATACTCGTGCGGCGCTGCTCCCTGCTTCCGCCACTCCGGAAATCAAGCTCCGGCACGAAGTCGAGAGCCCTTCGTCAGGTTGGGAAAACGCGCGGCGCTCTAAAGCAGGGACTCTGTAAGGGTGAGCGCGACGGCGTGAACTTTCCCCGAAACCGAGGACGGAGCCTTGTCCGGCGTTCTCGGAGCGATCTCTCCCCGAGTGCTGTATTGGGAGATTCAACGTTCGAGGCTCGCGTGGGCTCCGATCGAAATCTAGCGACTAGAAATTGTGAGGTTTGAGGGGGAGGAAGGGAAGACTGTAAGACTTCCGGGCTATGTTAGCATACAGTCAATTTCGCTCGATTACCTGCGTCAGTTCCATCGACTTTCGTGAGAAGTCGTGACCACGCGCTCGAAGGGTAAGCTTTTGTGCGCTCGGGAGAGAATCATCGGGCCTATCTTCCTCGAAATCAGTCGGATCACGTATCGCAATCAACCCTGAGATTCGGAGATATCTATGTGAGTCGTTGCAATGTCAGATGAACCCGCTGAGTACCCGGTGTAGATCTGATTACCGGAGACTGAGCATAAGCATCCCAGACGGAGTTCCAACAGATCTGATAGAAGCAGTCAGCTATCGCTTCCAAGGAATATGGGACTCGACGACCAAGAAAATCCATCTTGCGAGGTGTCATCACTGTGCACGGGCAAGCTGTGTATCAGATTCGTTCAATTGTATACATAAATATATAAGACGGCACCTAAGCCGAGGTCAAACTTAAATCAATTTCCTGGGAGGTGCTTGCGAGGGTAAATTTGAATCAGGAGAGGCTCAAGAGAAGGACACAGTTCACACACCTCGAATCGAGCTCCATGAATATACGACCGTGGATTGTTTTCCAACGATAGCATCAGTGCGGTCTCCTCCGATGGACGAGACCGCTTAAGCTGAGCTTATTACGCGCATTCACAGCCGTTCGCAGACCCGAGGCACCGCTTGCATGATGCGCCAGGTAGCCTAGGCTGAGCATATCCTCAAATCGATTAACAAGTCGTAAAATCGAGGTTCCGAGACCTCCCTAGAGTTCTCAATCCACTCGAGGCCTCCCGTTGAGCTTCGCGTCGTTTCCTGCGAGACTTGTACTTATTTAGGACATTCATTGCCTATATATATTAGCGTGGTGCCGAAACTGCCATTGAAACGCAGACTCTTCTCCCGGCTCCATGATACCCGAATCGGCCAAAGGATCGAGAAACTTATCGATGGAGATGTGTACGAGATTCGGGAATGTCACTTGATGTGAAAGATATGAGATGGGCTCGACTCTCGGACTTGAAAATCTCCCGAAGATACGATTTCCGCTGAATCCGTGCTGTAATTTGAAGATCGAATCGGGGACGACCTTCCGGAGGCTTCTTTTGCTTCAAGAAGGAGTAATCCGAAACTTTACGTGTAGCAAAAACGCGCTCGAGCTCCGACAATTGGAGTTTCTCTCCGCGCGAGGGGATTGCGGCCTATCTCGTTAATGATTAAGTATTTTGAGAGCCTTGGAGGAGAAGCTCCTTCCATATCGCTCGATTCCAACGCCAGGCATGCGAGGAAGAAATATTCTGGGAAGAAATATGCGCCCGAGAGATCCAAATTTTTTCGGAGCCCAGACCCTCGTACGAGACGTTAGCCTCAATTCCGCCGAGGAACTGATTTCGAGCTCTACTTCGGAGAGTGTCGGAGGTCGCTCCGGACTTCCAACCGATTCAACGAAGTAGGTTCCCGCAGCTTGGTTCAAAGGGAAATCGACCCTAGAACGATACACTCTCACTCGGTTGAGCCTCTGAGTCTCCCCTCAATCAGCAATACGGACCCGCTCAGCAGAAACTCCAGTTTCCACAAAGACAACTCACAACTCGCACCATCCGTACCTCCTTCTCGTGGATCGAGTTCCATCGCGGAATACTTAGTCTGAAGAAAACCTTTGGAACCAGCGAAGTCGGATTCATAGATGTCCGAGGGTTGGAGATATTGTTGCAGGCAAAGCCGATGGCATTCGGTCAAGCTCCATAGGCGGGGCTCACTTCCTAGCGTCCTTCGCCTCTCCGGAAGTACTTCAATCGGAGCCGCGGCGAGAAGCAAGATCCGAGCTCCGAACTCCGAGCATAAGTGCAGAGACCTTATCCGAAACCCGGTATGCCCAAAATGGGGTCTGCTGGAACGCACTGAGAAATCCGGGGGCGCTAACATTGAGCATCCCTCTGCTCCTTCGGAGAATTCTGATCCGGAACCTTGACCATTAGGAATAGGGCTTCTGGTGGTATCTCGAATGTTAGCACTTTGGTCGCTTGGCTGACGATGGTTCCGTGACGCTCTGTTGCCGGTGGTGGACAAGCAGCACAACGGATGGGGAAGCTGAATTCTCAAGCTGTTAAAAATATCGGTCGACCGCCCCGGATTATGGCTGTCCGCCAGGGGCTCTATTTTGAAAAACATCGCTCAGAGATTCGATCCATTACCTCTATTCCAGTTATTCTCGGGGAGGTTCATAAAGTCCCGGACCGGGACGCGATCGCGCTCCAGGGAAACGTCAAACATTGTCGGATCGACCCTCGTTAGTGTAGACACTCTTGGGGGACTTTCTTGGGAGCAAATCATGAGCGGGGCAGCACGTTTTCGGGGAGCCTGCGAAAGGAGCCGACTGGAGCGGGAGGTCTGCCACGATATTATCACCGGGAACAGGATCTACTTCTCAGGATGGTTTCCGGTCAGAGGAGCTCGGCACTGCCTCCGCCGGAGTCTCGGAAGGGCAGCCGCTCAGCTGCATATCCCGCGCCGGAATCCCACCCGTTCTGGCAAACATCCGTTCGCGATTGCGCGGCTTCTCGCGCAGCCGGTCTAGCGACATTCTTTCATCTCTCAATTTTGAGTACCGGCAGATACATAGAGTCCAGTTTGCCGGGAACAAATTTTTTTCTCTCTCCCCCCCCTCTGTGGCAAACTGCCGCGGAACAATCCCGCGAAAGTCCGCCGCGACCGTTTGAAATCCTGGATCGGTCGGGGGAGTCAGCCAGGAAGCTCTACACGTTTAGGATGCACGGCCCTGAGTTCGGGTCGAAGCGTCTGGGTTTCTCTGTTGATATCCTCCCTAAAGCGGTGTGGAGCCTCAATACAGACTCCTCCCGTGGGACTGAGAGACATATCCCCGCGAACCATGCCTGCTTGAGCTCCCCTTTAGATGTATCGACTCCTTGCAACGGCTGAGAGAACTCGGATGCGGCTTCTTCGACGAAGACCTTCCATTGATAGGGAACTAAGTGACCGCTCCTCAGATAAACACCGGATACTGTCACCCGGAAAGAATCCTCGAGTTCACGATCGGCTCACCGCTGATCCGAAAGGATTTATCGGCCTTCGATGATGACGACCAGAAAGTATTATCGCTAATTTCTACCTCGCGTAGCCAGACTCGCGTCTTCTGTGGTGATTTAGGATAATGATCCTTATGAGTAATTAACAGCACCAAGCAACACCCTTAACTTGTAACATTCTGCGGGGAACAATGCTTATTGTGATATTTCGGTCGTTGCTTACCCAGAACTTGTCAGAAGAAAAAGAGAGCTTCAGCCCTTGGGAGTCCGAACCTTGACGGAAGAGAGGGGAAACTCGCTCGCTGAGCATTTCATTCGAAGTCCTGAGTATAAATAAAAGAGGAGAAAATCCGTTGAAGTATCAGTCACTTGGGACTTTCCACTTCTCAATTGAAATGAACTCCGCGGCCACCCTCGCTCTTCTTGCCTCTTGTCTCCTCATTGCCTCAGTCAACTGCGGGGGTTACGGAGGCTATGGGGGATATGGAGGCTACGGACACGGTCACTATCACGTATCCCATGCTAAAGTAGCAAAGGTGCACTACGTCAAGACTCCGATCGTTTCCACGCATTACGTCAAGAAGCCCGTTGTCAGCTACGTCCACAAACCAGTGAAGTCTATCCATTACGTGTCGAAACCAGTTGTCTCGCTCCACTCGGTCCCCGTGATCAGCAAAGGATACGGTCATGGATGGTAGATCGTCTAGACTCTGGGGTCGGACCGGATTCTCTTTTGAAAGCTCCGAAGATACATGTAAATAAAACCCTGCTGCTCGTTCTATATCTCTTGCTCTGACGGCTCCATCGATGTGTTTGTACATCAACGGAAGGAATCTGCAAATCGCTCTAGGACTCTTAATGTTTCACAGCCGGTGCCGCGCTCTCATCGTCTCCCTTGTTGTGAACGACGATTTCATACTGATACTTCTGATAGATGATAGCAGTTTCCGAGGTCCATCATTTCAGCGCTCGATACTGTCCGCATAGGATAAATTATCCTCCTTCTCGGAGCAGTTCCACTATATCGAGTCGGTGTAGGTTAGTAGGCCCTCAACGGCGCAGCCCATAATGGCGCCCAATGTTTCCGTGGCGCTGCCTTCCGGGCGTGCGTCGGCTCTAAACCTCAGTTTGGGGGCCGTTGGAGGCCGCTCCGCAGCCTAACTCAAGTCTTCAACATAGCCCCCCAAACTAAGGTTTAGGCCGCCTCACAATGTCATTGTTTCGAACGGATAATCATGCCGACTAATCGACAAAAAAAACACTCTCGCTCAGCCCCCGCGACCTGACACTGCTCCGGGTGGGATCTGAGCTTGGGATCGGGATAAGACAAGAAGACTCCTCGGAGGAATGAAATAGCATTCCACGAAGCGCCATGGAGCATTCCGAGATCTCATGTAGACACCGATTTCTGAAAAATGTTGTCACACGGAAATCAGGTCTCCATTGCGAGAATCATGGACCTCAATCAAGAAAGATTCCACATTGCAACAGATGGTAGTGTCGAGTGGCCTTGGGCAAATACCGTTCAGCTCCATACGGCTCGTCGAGTCGAGTTTCGGGCATGAGGACGCAGTCAGAATCACTCTTCTTCTGTCTCGTTGCGTGGATCGACGAGATCTACATTCATATTCCAGATTCTGGACGACCTTCACCTAGGCCCAGTCCTTATACCTGAACCAAAAATGGAGATGCGGGGTATCGATCCCCGTACCTCTCGCATGCTAAGCGAGCGCTCTACCATCTGAGCTACATCCCCTGATGTTCAACTAGGGCTCAGACCGCTTTATGTCTCCGACCCGATCCGACCCATGTACGGGAAGCCCCACCTACTGTGTAGGAGAGGGCAGCGGGCAGGAGCTTCAGCCTCGAGAGCTCCATCTATTCGAGCCCCTCTCCGTAAGTGAGCTCGTTGATTCGAAGCTTAGGATATTTTGGAGGGAAAATCGAAGATCATAAAATCTTGAGTCAAGTTCTAGACTACAAATTCAAGAACCAAATTCCAGTTTACAGACGTTGCAGACGTGGCGCCGTGGCTTAGTTGGTTAAAGCGCCTGTCTAGTAAACAGGAGATCGCGAGTTCGAATCTCGCCGGAGCCTTCCTTTTAATCCCCGCCACGGCCTCATTGAGGACTCTGCAAGAATATGGAGAATGGGCATTTGTGGAAACAGCCCGGAAACTCGAAGTGAAATCACATGAGGAAATTATTGAGCCCCAAAATTTATGTTCCTGCCAGGGCTCGAACCTGGGACCTTCCGCGTGTTAGGCGGATGTGATAACCACTACACCACAGGAACCGTGAGTCGCCCTGCTTTCACTTGAGAATCCATTTATAGACTCCAGCCTCGGAGTCGGATGACGTTTTGAACACCAGGTTTCGATCCATACATTCTATCCTCGACATTCCCCATGAGGAAATTCTGGAGACATTCAGAGTGAGGCAGTATTTCTCGTCCTCAATCTTCTCACTGCACCGACGTGCTCAATACATAAAGAGCCCGCGAACCCCAACACTGACTGAGTGAGTGAGGCAGCGAGAGGCGACGTATGGTCCGCGGAGTCCGCTGCCGCTGAAGTCTCTAACGATCCGAACCTTTGGGGACGATTGGAAGAGAAATCTGACACGTTCGGGCAAAAGACCGTGCGCGAGACTCCTTGGGCATCAGCAGGGGATCATGAGCTCCTGCACTCGGATTTCGAACATGAGGTATATGAGGCGGGCAATGTTGGTAAGCAAAAATAATTGGCCCACACAGGGATCGAACCTATGACCTTCGCGTTATTAGCACGACGCTCTAACCGACTGAGCTAGTGGGCCACGATGCACACCATTGGAGATCGAATAATAAGATTTACGTCTTTCTCGGAGGCCCATCCTTCTCGAGCGCGGTGAGCTAATCGACTAGCGATAAAGGCGCTGGGGAGAGAAAAATTCCAATTCTAATCAACTGAATCCGAGCATTCGGAACCCGGAGACTAGGGTCTCAAGGACTCTGTTGAGCCACCTTGGTCGAAACATCTATTTGACTCTAGCATCCTCGCGTATTTGTAGACTTCTCACATCGCGCTCTCATCTCAAGCAGAGTCCCTCCATGTTTTGAATTCTCCCTGATGGCAGCGTCCGGAATCACTGCACCAGAGAGTTACAAGGTTGACATACGGTGGACCCGCTCAGACGATTGCCCGGATACTTCGATACCATACGGCTTTTCAAGCGTCAATGGCGGATGGTGTCCGGAAGCGGCAGTGCGAGACAGATCGAACCCTCATCGCAAACCAGCCCGACGGATCGTCTGATGTTCTCTCTCAGCTTCATTCAGCTAATTCCTGTCTGGAAAAAGGCGCCGCATACGAGCAGAATCTTGGCGTCTTCTCTTCCAGAGAGCTGATCAGTCGTCAGAGAACATGCAATTCCAGATAGTTCAGCCGGGTATTCGGAGAGGGAGTCCGGTTGCGCTCATGCGATCGAGACAAAGAGCTTGATATCAACCTAGCCTCTCTCATCCGGGTTGGGATCGATAAGGATAACTTCTCACTTGGAGACCGACTGCAGGAGCCAACAATCCGCTTGTGGCGAGGGCAGACCGATCCTCGTCTCTAACTTCTTTCCCTCTGTCTTTCGGGGTCTTGGCGCATAACCATCGGGAGCTACCCTCGAACGCTGAAGCCTCAACATCACGGCGCTCCGAGACTCGGTGGTATCTTCCCGGGAACGAACGACTCAGTCCGAAAATGGCGAAAATTGGTGAGTAAGAATTCGAATTCTTCGTTCCCAGAGCGAAAATATGCCCCGGATATGAGAGTCTAGCGTCATCGCTCTATACGTGTCGACTCAGAACATAACCCGAGTCTTTTTCCTCGGAGTCTAGGAGAGCCACTCCCCGGTCGCGAAGAAATTGTCGTGAATTTGAAGCCTCTGTATCTTGACTTTGATGGCACCCGGATGGCGAAACTTTTCACGGTAAAGTGTTTCAGGGAGGCTGTCAACTATAAACCTCGGCCCGGTAAGTACTGCATGATTTGAGTGGGATCAGGTCCAGGATGGGGAGAACTGGCTCCATCCTCCCGCTGTATGACGAGTTCGTGAGGACTCTCGCCCGCGACGACTGGAGGAGAGCTATGAGGATGATTTCGCGTCAAGATCAGTGCAGGGCTGGGATGGCCGAGTGCAGACGCGGCTCAGAGGGTTTGGGGGAAAGCGCCATTTCGGGGCCCTCGACAGGTCTCGATCAACACAAGATCGATTTGGCCAGATTTCGCGAGTAAAACACTTTGGCTCTGCTCTCGCTCTTTTCAGACGACATCTTTATCGCAACATTCCCGAAATGTGGGACTACGTGGATGTCCGAGATAACCTATCTGATCTTCCACCACGGCAACTCCCCGAATTCTCACCTTGACCGACTGCAAAGCACGCCTTTCATCGAAGTAATTCTCCAGCGAGCGATACTTTCGGAATCAGATTTAATGTTTATGCATATCTGGAAATCGACTCATAGAAGATTTCTGCGAATGCTTCCCTCAGATGACGGGTGAAGCGGGTCCCCGGAACATGGCTCGACCCGGATGCATCAAAACTCACCTCCCGCGGAATTTGGTTCCGTACTCGGACGACGCCAAGTACATTTATGTCGTGAGGAATCCGAAAGGCAAGACTCTTTCCGTGAGAAATTCCGCTTATAACTCGCTAATGACATGTTGTGACAGCCCGTAACAATTACCTAGAGCATGCAAGTCTTATCTAGCGGTAGAAATCAGTCTTACGAAGCATACAGATCATTCAAGAAAACTTATGCGGTCACGCACTCGGGATGACGTAGCTTGATTTCGGTTTCGCTTAATTTCTTCGCAGATTGTGCGGTCTCTTACTTCCATCACCAGAAGAAAACTTTCTCCGCATACGAGTTCGAAGACGGGTCTTTCGATGAGTTTTTCGAGTTATTCTTGAAGGGAGAAACCGAATACAACGACTATTTCGCCCATCTTTTGTCGTGGTACCCGCAGACCAAGAAGCCGAATACATTTTTGATTCATTACGAAGACTTGAAGAAAGATCCCAGATCTGAAATATTGAGGTTGGGAAAGTTCCTCGGAGAGGACTACTACAAGTCAATGCTTGAGAGCAACCTCATCGACAAAATTGTTGTTGGTTGTCATGTCGACACCATGAAGAAACATTACGAGAGATTTGACATTCCCATAGAGGGAGTGCAAAATGCGGGTTAGTAATCTCGTGGGGAAGCTTGATTCTATCAAATCCTCAATGATGTTCCTCCAGCTTGTGATCCCTGCGAACACGTTCTCGAAATATTGTGTTTCAGGCGTGGCTAATTTCGTCAAGATGAACATTAAGCAAAAAACGGAGGAGGGCACCATCAGACTGCCCGGGTTCGTTCGACAAGGCAAAGTCAACGGTTGGAAGGACATGTTCACGGCAGAAATGAATTCCAGGATGGAGAGGAAAATTTTCGAGACTCTGGAGCCTGTGTGTCCGGAAATTGTGCAGAAGTGGAGAGATCATAACATTTTATCTTGAGCTGAAATCGGATGAGTCGGACCGCGGGGGCTACAAGCTCTACATATATTCCGAGACCGATAGTTCGAGAGCGTTTCGAGCATTTGTACTCCTGTAGGCGAGGCATGACTGCATGGCGATATGTGGGCATCATGTCTAGAGCACATATGTTCATTAAAATTGCGTGAAATGTAGAAGATCGCATGAATCGCCTGTTTCAAGTCCAAATCGCATAAAATGGTTTCAAAAGCTTATGTCCGCAGAATCCGCCTTCCTCCTTTGTTCTGATAGGAAGTTTCATAACCGAATTGAACGCGATCACGCGCTCAAGTGGCTACGACGCTCTCGGCATGTGATATTCGAAGGCGACCGTGCCGCATTCGATCATGCTCGATTTCGACTGCGAAGTACGGCGCCGCTCGAATCGATGGAAATCTCTCGGCCGACGGACACGTCATACTGTGCATAATCTGCGAGCGGCAAGTGACAGCTGATCAGAAATGGAAATCTCAGATCACACAACATCTCAATGGCGCGGAGCGAAATCGCTCTTTGAGACGAAGGGGCCGGCGACAACATCGAACTTAGTGCAAGTCGGCCCGTTCCTGAAAGTTTCGGGAAAGCGATTACCTTTCGAACTCGATCTTTGCGATGCACTTGTCTCAGCTGGCATTCGACTGCGAAAACCAGGAAACGCAACGTTGAAGGGTTCCCTTGAAACTTATTCCTGTGAGCCGATACCTTCGACATCGAATATTAGGAAAATATATCTGGTGAGTGTCTGTAGACCGAGCTTCATTAGGAACGCTGTTGACGACAAACCTGTTTGGCTATCCATCGATGTAAGCACCGACGTAAAGGGCCGTTCTGTTGCTAACACGGTCGTCCAGAAAAGACGAACGACTCTACTATTTCTCGAGTGCCCATGAACTCCTCGACAGTTCTCTGGCCAGATGGAGTTTGGCACGTCGAGGCACTTCTGTTTGTCGCGGATGGTGGTGTCTATCCTGCATCGAGAAGTAGTGCTTCCTGACGTCGACAGGCTCGTCGCTGAGGGCGGAAACTTTTCGCAAGTCGGCAGCGCGAGTCACTCGTTTCCAAGAGATCGCACGGGGAACTGCAATGCCACCGCAGTCGATCCTGACCAGATGGGGCACATGGATCGATGCAGCGATTCACGATGCTAGAAACCACAACAATAAGTCGTCTCCTGAGGCCATGCTCATGATGGAGAGGTATCCTGGCCGGGGAGTGGGTATATAGTAAAATTTATTGACGCTCAACAAACTATACACATGATATAAAACATTCGATGTAGGAGTTCCTCAAACAGGAGTCCCATCGTTGTCATCATTGCGTGCCTCACGTCGTTTCTCTACTCTCTCTTTCCTCTGCTGTTCTCTCCGTTTGGTTCGGTTCAGACGCTTCTTGATTTCGTCTTCCCACTGGCGACGTTGATGCAGGTAGAGCTTCATTGCGACCTGAGCATCTTGAACCGAGCTATGTTCACCTTGCTGTATGTTGAGCTCTAGGACGCGCAGAGCGAGGTTCTTCAATGAAGGCGTACGCCCGCCGAACATGTCACGATACGGCCTGGAGTACATGAAAGAAAAACGGAAAGGTAGTAGCGAGCTATTACCGCATGTTCGCGTGAAAACGTCTCACGTGATTGTGTATTGCATGAAGCTGGCAGTAGGTGATCTGAATTTCTGTGTTCATAGATTATAAGGATGATTAGAATCATGAGCGGAGGAAATACGGATTATGCATGTAGGCGGAATATTTAATGTTCTCACACTCTGAAACAATAAGCGCACAGCATACCGTGGTATCCTCGTCCTCGAAACGGTCCCACAGAAAAATGGCCACACCAGGATTCACTGTTTTAAGGTTGCGGAAAAACCAGAGGCGATCACAGACATCGTATGTATGCCCAAACTCGTTGCCTCGTTGTCAAGGAATATATTTTTGAATCGCTGTGACGCTCTCCTCCACTTTTATTCGTGAGCCGCATCCCTCACACATTCGGTACCTCAATCGAAATTCGCAGCATTATTTCTGAGGACACTCAGCTCGTTTCGACTATCGCTATTCTGACGCATGAAATGTACCGATTCTTGACGACTCACATTGCCAGCTTCAGGTATCAAAGTCAGCGCACCAAGATCTTCAGTGTTGGCCTCTGGTGGGCCATTGCACGGAGACGAGCACGAGTTTCTCGTGCTCTTTCCGTTGATGTTTACGGCCGTTTCGCAGCTGCTTCTGACCGCCCTATATTTTCAGCTACCCTTGCCTTCCGCTTTTCTCGCATGATGGTTCTTGCCTCCGGTCTCATGGCTAACACCAAGAAATGAAGTCCTCTCCGGAGACCCGGAGACTCAGCTTCACACTTCGTTATCTCTATATATAAATCTTTAAGTGTGTCTGTTTGTACACTTGTGTCGTTGTAAGTTGTAACTCTCTAAAACTTCAGAGGTTTTCCACGACATTTCGGCTGCAGCTCCGGACAGGTCTGTGGGAGGTTTCTGTGGGTTTTGTTTCGTTACGGGTGTACGTCACAATGCCGATTTTCGGGTTTTTTCCTCAACTTCGTTTTCCCTGGGGATGGGAAACATTGGGAACAACGAAGCTCAAACAGTTGTAGAGACGAGGGGAGAGTGGGGAGTAAGCGAAGGACGCGAGAGATATGTATGAGGTATGATTAGGAAAACGGCAAGCGGTGAAACGAGAGGACGGTAGAACGAGAAAGCGGTGGAACGAGAAAACGGTTGAACGAGAAAACGATGGTACGGGAAAACGGTGGAACGGGAGAACGGGGAAATAGGAGGACGGGGAAACGGGTAAGTAGAAGAACGGGAGAACGCGGAGATGGGAGTTCGCGGAAACGGGAGAACGGGGAAACGGAAGAAAGGGGGAATGGGAGGACGGGGGAACGGGGAAAAGGGGGAGAGGAGAATGGGAGAGCGGGGAGCCGGGAGAATGGGGTATTTCTTTCGGAGAAAATTCGGGAGTCGTGGATGACAAAGGGGGCGCCTGCGTCACTTTCTTTAATCTTCAAACAAGAGAATGGCAAGGGATGAGAACGTTGACGAGTAGATCGAACACGAACACGAAAACTGAAATTGTTGACCTTAAAAAGTCCGAAGGAGTAGACCGTCTTTCGAATTTTCGGTCGAGGGGTGGGACAGAACAGGAGTCTGAGCATCTGCTCCTCTCACCAAGAAATAAGAATAAATAGTTGGAAATATTTCAATCATCGTCCTGTTGTTCGAAGCAGTCAGAGGTTGATTGTCGCAGCGAAGCGCGACGGGTTGCGCTAGTAATCTATAGAATCTCGGCGGAACCTCCGTTTACAATTTCGGACGGACGAATTAAGCTCAACTCAGAACCGTGCTCGATTCAAGATCCTCCTCCGATCAGGATCCTAAGTTCAGGAAACTTATTCCCTTATTTGATACGCGGTCTGGAAGTAGATCAAGAAAACCTGCATAGCTGCAGCGGTTTTCTCCACCAGAGCAAGGGATAGGTATCCCTACGAACTAAATTATTCCCCGGACAACCAGTCTTGGGTCACTTACAGTCCATGTCCTCACCATTATACATCAGAATCTCACTTCCTTTCAACTGCTTGAGTTGAACATTCTCCCCTTATTCTAGAGAACAATCATTCATACGGCTTAACAGAGGTTTTCGAAGCTCGACAGAAAACGTCCAATCAAACCTCCCCCTCAGTTCAGTTTCGGACGAAAATTGATAGGGACAATGTCCCGTAAAGCAATATTTCGACCCAATCCTCGTGATAATCCGATGCCTACCAGCGGAGATTCAGCCGCGCAAAAGCGGGGTAGATTTCGCTGCATGGAGGACGAAGTTTCTTTGACCGGCTACTAGAGGCATTTCAAAGACGTTTTCACGTCAAAACCTTCAGCAGATTCTCTCGAAACTATGAGCGGTAGGCGTTCAGACCAGAGGTCATCGATTCGAATCGATTGGTTACTCACTTGTAGAACGATGTGTCCCTCGTGAGACTATTGGGATGGGACAGGAATAAAACTTTGAAGTCGTGATGCAACGCATGGCCGACAACGATCCGGTTTTTGATGATATCACCGACCTCCTTCTGGACCACAGTGAGGTCGACACCTGCCACGGAACAGCAAAATCGTCGAATTATATGGTTCAGCATCCTCCGCTCCGTAATGTGCGTTTCCCGCGACGAATACCATGTTCAATCTTGGGTATCGTTTCAGAATTATATTGAGGTATGAGTATACCAACCGACTCCGAGATGTTCAGGTCTGATACCGCTGATGTTGGTTCGGTAGTCCGTGACGGGCTCTTTGGGCAGTACATATTCATCGTAGACGACGTTCCCGTGCAAATTCACAATCGATACCCGAGCGAGCATGTTGTCCCTTCCACCGGGCCCCACTCCTACCATCTCGCAGTCGAGAGCGACTGCTTTCGTGAGACTGAAATGATCGAGCCTGGATGAGTCGTAGGGTCCTGTTGCTATGAGCAGCCTGGAGCCTTCCAGCTCTGCCGAGAAACGAACTCTACAAATATGGCAAGTTCACCGGCTCTTCACACTCACCTCGTGTCCTTCTTCCGCATTTCCTCGCTGAAAGCACAATAAAATTTCACTGACGGAGTCTTTGACGTGAAAACGTCTTGAACCAGACGAGCTATCAAAAAAACTTTCTTGTTCTGAGAAAGCTTAGGTTTCTTCGCAGTCCAATGAGAGAGGCAACGAACTCGTTGAGAATCCCCGGTGAGAAACGATGAGTACACGATCAACAGGTACAGGACTCACGCCAGCTGTTTGGTCTTCGCCTGCTTCTCTCTGAGGGTTTCCTTGAGCGTCTCCTTGATTCCCATGGCGGCTTTAAGGTTTTCCCAATTCGCTGATACTCCTCGGGTTCCTTCAGGTCTCCCCACGATCGTTTGCAGCTGAAGAAAAAATGATGAAGGCGAGTCTTTAAACTTGACGGAAAGCACAAGCGACAATTTGAGAGAAACTTCAACAGGACTACGACCTCTCTCCACTGAGGGTGAGTGGAGGCATTCATGCCCGACTCTCTTTTAGGGCAAACGATCTCCAGATGAGGAGACGTTCGGAAACATGGAGGTCAACAGCTTCCATGGCATTCTCCTCCAAACGAGCGACACTCAGAGACGAACTCGTTTCATCTCTCGAAAGTTTTGAGAAACATGATGGGAAACCAACCCCGTCGAGGATAGCTCTCTGTTTCTCCTTGCGCTGGAGCCGTTTCTGACGTAATTTCTCTTTCCTCGGAGTCGAACTCATATCCGGAGGCGGCTGTAAAACACGGATTGATTGAAACGCAGCGGAGAATCAAAAGCATAACAGCACGGATTCAAAAACCGTGTGAGAAGGACACACATGATAACAGCACTTGTAATTTCAACGTTCCAGTTGAGAAAGCGACTGCGATCGAAGAGCTCGAATGCTAGTTGTTCACCGCAACGGAATGTTCCGCCCTCGCCTTTCGATTTTGGGTCTCACCTGCGGTGTCAGTCCGATCGGAGACCTTTCTAAGAACAATGTTAAATAATTTGAAGCACCGTCCGGCGAGTTCGTGACCGATCCGCTTCTTTCTGGCGTTTTCAGCGTAGCACTCACTGGGTTCTGCAGCACTGGGTCGTATGATCGACCGTTGTCGGATTGCCGAGGTTCGACGAACACAGTACAACGTGCTTTTCTGTTTACACTCGGGGAGAGGGCTGTTCGGAGAGCGAACGAACGAGGAGCCTAGCTAGCGGCAGCAGGACGACGATCGACCCTCACTCAAAAGTCGTCTGCTCCGAAGACGGGTTGAGCTCCTCGAAAAGCGGAGGGATAATTTGAGTGGCTCTCACTCCGCTCGGCATGATCGATCTCCGTATCACTCCGGCACGACCGGGACTCGGGAGTCTTTTCGCTCAGAGAGTTCTCTTGCCGACTCCGGATCTTCTCGCGCGTTAGATACGAGCAGACAGGAATCCTTCCGGAGTTGATTGTCGGAAAAATGAGCAAGCTGTCCGAGTCCCGAACTTGTTGGAACTGAACGTTGGCCGTGACGTGAGCCAGTGTGTTCCATTGGACTGTGTGAGGAGCCGTCTTGTCGAGAATAAGGTTGCTCACACTCTTGACTGAGGTCCGTGTCGGGGTGGAGCGTGTCAGCTCCACGCAAACAAATTGATTTGGACATTCACGGCATTATTTAAGGTCGGTTCTTCGGAAAGTTTCGCTGTCAGTTCGCTGTGACTTTGAAGCCGTAATCAAATAAGCGAACCAGGAGCGGAGCTCTCCGTGATCGACGGCCGGGGAGATGCTCACCCTTTAGGCGGGGATCCCGGAATTCTCCCGCTCCGCAGGCCTCACTGGGAGGATCTTTCCATCGAGCTGTGATCATTCGTGACCTTCGTATTTCGTTCGCACTCTTCCTTGGGGAGGAAAAGCTACCAATTCGAGGGATGCCTTTGATTATGGACCAGCTTGTATTCTCATAGGTCTAGGTTATACAGCTCGCCAATATTCGAGCATCGGATCGATGAGCTCGCGGTTGGGAAATTTATCAACCCGGCGGAGTGCGAGTCTCGATCACCATCCACCCATATAGAATCGCTCTGGAAACGGGTCTAATTCTAGCTGCAGAGAAACGTACAGTAGTGACTCCGAAGTAGGTAGTTCGCTTCGAGAACCGCAGTAGTCGGGTTCACTGTTCGTATGAGTGGGGCACTCGGATATCTCCGAGGATTCACGTAGAGGAAATTGGAGGGACATTCATGTCATGCACCTTGGGGAGATGAGCCCTCGTCTGTCAAAAATCTACCTCCGCTCCCCCGTTTTGCTTCCCTAGGTCTCGCCGTGAAATTTCGGCAAGCGCTGAGGATATGTACTCGGATTCGGATCTCATCTCCTGTTTCTTCGCTTCCTAAGACGACTGAATTTTTGCGGAACCATTACGGCTACCACAGCCTGAATGCTCTTCGAGGCTTGTTTCGACCAGCCACATCGGAAAAGGGTCCAACGAATCCGGAATAGGTTCGCTCTTGAAGCGGGTGGAGGATTTCCCGTCGATGCTTCAACGGGCGTCACGAAGCGCCGGATCGACTCGCTTCGACGTCACATCACGTACCAGCTGAAGTACAGTCGCATCCGAAGTCGATCATGATTGGAGCCGAGCTCAAGGATCACCTCACTCACGAGCCGGTTTCCAGGCTCCGAGGCCAAACTCGTTGTAGGGCATCGACGGTTTCTTGACTCCCCTGGGCGTTGGGTATTCGCGTGGGAACTCTCCGGGATATGTCCCGAGACCTTCAGCGTCCACCGAAGCCACCTCAGCTTCCAATCCTGTGTCGGTTTCCATAGCTTATAGCATAGGCTTCTCAATCCTCTCAGAGTTTTTCCCAGAGTTCTCAGTCGTGAGCATGGTTCTTTAGGAGAACTCATGGCGAGGGGTCCTGGAGCCGTGCGCGGACAGGCATAATGTGTCTGATCAATCGAGCACGCTTGCTATTATAAGCCGAGAGAGTTCCACGGAAAATCGAAGGGCTGGAAAGCTTCCCTCGCGGCGAATTTCCACAAGCCCGGCGAATCTCGGGGAACGGATGCGATCAAACTCCCCGAGGATAATCTTTGTGAGTGGACGAAGAGTGGAAAAATCTCCTTCGATCATGTATTCGAGGATCGAGATGAGCTCAGCATAGATCCGAAACAGCTCGAGGCGATCCGAAATATTCGCGTGATCTTCTGCTTTGGTAACAAAGGCTCGCTGGAAGCGCCTGGGGCGAGCTCGCATAAAAAGCCGTAAGACTCGCTTTATTACTGGAGCTGTTTGGAGAGATACGTCAAGTTCTCGCCTGCACCACCTTTCGTCGCCTCAAGTCGACGGGAATACCGCAAGTTTGCAAAGGCGATTAGCCCTATCGATGATGGCCTCGAGCACATACGATCGGAAGAGTGATCTATCCGAAGTTTCTCTCGAAGCCTCTCCGGATCCTCCCGACTCATTATTATCGACCCTACTCCCTGCATACTGAGCGTTCAGTCGATGCTCGGACTCGATAATTGTGAATGAGGAGCGACGAGTGCTCTTCTCTCACGAGTCGGTATCGAAAGATCCTCGGTAATTGGCACGATGATCCGCGAACCTTCATCATTTCCTCTTCCAAACTTTGGGAAGCAACGGATGTCCGACATGCCCCCGATACGGAGCGTGTCAACTCCTCCCGCTGAGATTCTACAGAACTTAAAGCATGGGTACCGACTTCGCGACCTCGACGGATGTTTGCGAGGCATCAACAGCCCGCGTTCGCTCTGCCATTCTCGCAGCGGCAGCAATCATCCGAAGAACGGCAAACAAGCGCCGAGAAATTAATCAGTGCGCTACTCTCGAACGAGACACCCCGGGGCTCCGACGCAATTTTTTGGACGTCTGCGCAGAGATCGTCAATAAATTGCGGCGAAGAGCTTCGGCCGGCTCACCAAACCGACGTGAGAGGTCCGGACTCCTCCGCTTGGTGCCTAGAGAATGATCCATTCCCTCGTTCGGCTTCACCTCGGCAGAGCTGCTGTGAAAAGTGTTTCCCTTCCTGCACATCGCCGATATCGGACATTCGAAGGCAGTAATTTCCCCCAGCCGTAAGATGGAGAGTCAAACGTTCCTGAGATGGAGGCCAAGCCGATCGGGGGCTACCTACATAGACTGGAATTCGTTAAGGGATCGCCAGCACTTCGCTGAGCGGAGCGGCTGAGTGGAGGAGGATTTCCGATTGACGAGCTAACAATGTTGAAGGGTAGCGCAGGCTTCGAGCGCTCAGGGCATTGTTGAAACTTTAGTGCCCATCCTTCCCAGATAAGCGAACGGCACTCAGAGCCGGCCGAGAGCGAACTGTCGAGGCTACCTGCTGGACCGACCTACCCGGTCGCTAGGTCGATTCCGCTACTCTTTCTTCTTCGTCAGAACGAAGAAGGCACCTCATCAAAATACACTCACGCAGGGAGGATTCCGGAACATTATCGGTCTTAGGATACTCGTGGGACGAATCGTAGAGTTTGAAAGTCTCGAAAGCTCGACCCACGACAACTTCAGCGTATGAACTCCAAGAGTGTATTTTCTGACGAGCTCCCCTCGATTGAATGCACGTGCCGCGCATCGACTCATGCACGGGCACGCGGCACCGAGAGAGGCGATGCATGTAGAAATGAGGTGCATCTCGAGGGAAGAAGACCGATTGAGAGAAATTGACTGCGACAAGATGGCAGGCGAAACATTGACGACTATGAAAGATAACAAGCAATCATTTCCAAAGTGGCTCCTGAGTGCTTCCTCCTCGGCTCTCCTCGCTCGGGTTGCATGGCCTTCGAAACATTGTGAGCAGTTCGACGGGGAGAAATTCCGAAGATTCTCTCTGTGGCTTCGAACAACTTCCTGTGCTGTGTATTCGAGAGAAAAAGACCGTCTCTCGCGTGGAACTGCCGGCGCTGTCGACGTCATCAGTGAGCGAAACAATACGACTGTTAATCCGAACGGACCTCCCACGGAGGCTAGCCATGCTGAACTTAGTCACAGGAGGAAATTGTACCAATTCGGAATCCTCGGCGTCGAGGCTGGACCTTAGTGTCGATTGACGAGGAAGTTTTTAAACGACTTTCCCATCGCAAGACGAATCCTGTTGGTTGATTCGAACGCTATGGGTATGCGCTCCGCTTCCATGATGATAAGCGTCATTCTGACGTGGATGGTGGAAATGTGGAGCAGTCGGACTGGAAATGGACCAGATGAAGAACTCGATCAGTTCCTCTGCCGTTTCCGAGGTTTCTTATTCGAAGAAAACGGATGATCCTCTCAGTGTTTGGGTCGAGTTTTGTGAGACCCTTTGTTCGTCGCCTCTCAGAGTTCGTCCCTCCTCTTCGGGCACGTGGGGATCCCTTTCCGTCGACTGCAGCGCCGTCATGTCCACCTGCCACAGGCCCGCTTATCGCCTTCAACTGCCCAAACCCCAGCGAGCTCTACACCTGCAACGTAGCCTGCGATAGGTCACCCGCTTGCTTCAATCAACCACACCGTCCCCGCTTGTAGTGAATGGTGAGTAGCGAATGAGCGTTGGGCAATGCAACTCGATGCGGCCGTGCAACTTGTGAACCTCCCGCTCCGTACGGGACTCGGCAAGCAGGGCCGGCCAGCCAGCCCTCCAGCCAACCAGACAGCGCAACAGTTGAGCTGCAACAGGTCTCCTTCTCGATGGGCGCTGCTTGGTGTTTTTAGCTGCGGCTGTAAGAACTCTGGCTTCGTTCAGACTGCGTCCTGGGAACTGTCAGCGCAATGCAGAGACCGGAAATATTGCAAGCCGTCTTTCGATTGACGCAATCGTGACGACTGACGAAGTGCAGAGCTTCAGATATTGGTCGAGATGCCGCACCGCTCGCAGCGAGTTCAAGTGTCAACCTCTCCTGAATATCGTGAGTAGATGGAAGAGAAAAAAAAAGAGAAATCGGAGACATGCGAGCTACTGATTGTGAGCGCCCCCTCGGTCTGCAGAGCCCACGCTCGGTGAGGGTTTCCCTATCCGAAGTTTACGTCCTGCTGGCCGACCGCGGAACGCGTGTCGTGTTGATGTTCTTATTGCTGTTTTATTCTTGTTCCCGAGCTCGCGGTAGTCGCTAGGGCTATACCCGTCGTAAAAAAGTCTTGTGACCATTATCTGGGGTGCTGTCGTGAAGGTCTCGACTTCGGGAATAGATTTGTCATTTCTTATTCCTCGTCGTCCCGTCCGTTTCTATTCGAAGGATGTCACGAAGTTGGCAAACATCTCTTTGTGTTGTTGTTGTTTTTGGTGATGGGACGAGCAGGAGAGCTTCGGAGTTGTCCGCCTTCGTCCCCACTTGACTTTTCCTCGCGCGACCCTCCCGTATCGTCTAGCCCCTGCCGTAGTCGCTATGTGTTCGTTTCCCGAAGTTCAGAGCCACTCGATTTGAATTTCCGAAACCCCAACGTAAAATAAACGGGAGCATCGTTGAGCGTCCTCTCTGGTGTCGCTCCGTGGACTCGCATCACTTATCCGGATTCTGTCTAACGTGTTCTTCTCCTCGTGGGAAGAGTCGCAACGCATCCAATCTGGCGACGGGAGCGAGTCTATGCGGAGTTCGCTAGAGTCGCTCCCGAGCAGGCCGACCGAAACCCGCTCGGGATTCAATGCGTCACGCCGGCATCGGCTTCGGAGGGAGCAGCGCGCCGGAGTTCGGGCGCATTCGACGTAATGAGCGCGACTCGTCATCAAACTTGTCGGCCGACGGAGCAACAGCTACCTGTCCAATAGTGGAGAGCTGTCGCAACCTTCTCCTCTGCCGGGAGGGGTTCGCGAAAGGGGATCTGGATCCCACTCAGTCCGTCGGCTCGCGTTCGACGAGTTGAGCAGGGGAAATCTGGGCTCCCGTGGGTTGCTCGGTAACCGACCCTCGACACCAACTCAATGATTGACCTACTGGCTCAACCGGACCGGGGAACGGAGAAGCCTCAAAGCTGGCAGGGCGCTCCCTCCGGCGAGGGTCGCCCGGCCCGAGAGCGGAAACCGAAGAAATCAGATTGACTCGGGCTGGGCGTTGAGAGCTCTCCGTTTTTCTGCGTGATCCACGGCATCACTATGTTGAGAGACGCCGTAAAGTGACCACGTCTACACGAGGTTCCTGTCCTCCGCGACGGTTTTATGCAAGTTTTGGGCGTAACGATTTGTCCACACGAGCCGACAAACTTGAGCGGACAGCGTTCGATGGCCGTAATTGATCATACTCCGTAATTGATGCTCTACAAACTTGGCCGGAGAGATTGTCCCCTACACACGCAATCACTGGAAAATTATGAACGAGCTCCTCCGTGCGCTCTCGGTGATAAATCCGGTTGAGCAGGACGGATACTCGAGCGATAAAGGCGGGTCGTATCGGGCTCAGCGTCCGGCTGCGAAGATAGACAGGAATTCGCTCCTTAATGCAAGGGGCTCGTTAGCACCCAGTCAGGTATCGCCAGTTAGGCCAGCCTTATAACTTCGTTACGGTGGGCCGGGGAACTTTCGGTGCATCGAAGGCTCAAACAAGGAAGCGACTGTAGCGGCCGTCTCCTTCGTGGTCCGATCCCCTAACTCTCCTTTGTCCCCGCTCCCCGCCACTGACATTGGCATTTCCGTTTTATTAGCAAAATACAGCTTCTCCCCTTGCCTGACTTGTGTCCTTCAAGGCACCAGACAGCCTCGGCTGATCTCCCCTGTTGCGCTCCGGTTCCTTTCTTCCTTGATCGCCACACGGCGGAGACCATAAAATCAAAAAGAAAAGAGGAAAGTCAGACGACCTTCAACTGCCTCCACTGGTCGACTATAACAGAAAGTAATCCTTCACGAAAGACCTCAGCAGCAGGAAAACAGTGACACCGTAGCACCGACTGAATTCTTGGTACTACCGGATGAAGTTGCTGTCACCGGCAACTTTCTCACTCTTCTCACCGACTGCAGAGCTCGGGCTTCCCGCTCTCTGTCTTGTCCTCGCTGAAGGTTCGCAAGGAAATGGGTGTGTTTTTCCCGAGTTTCCTCAATTCTTGTAATGAATTCGGACGAGACAACGGGCGAGCCAAAGATCTCCACGGACTCTCTTGAGCCAATCGATGAATGATAATTGTTTACAACTGGATGACGTGAATCGGAGGAACTCAATTCGAGAATAAAACCTCGGATTAGCAATGATGGCAAGAAGCAGACTCGGTATCGGGACCCAGGATCACGGGGTTTCCATGACTGAAGATGATGCTCGGCCGGAAATCAGTGGAATGGACTCAAAGCCGATCCCGAATCGCGTCCCGAGCGCTTCTTGTCTACTGTTGTAAACTCTCGCCGGCCGGAAATCCTAATCTATATCTCGGAGACTACTGGTTACGTGATTCCTAACGCCCCCTGATCGTTCGCGGATGGCAACCGCATGCATAATTCAACGACAGTGTGACTGCGGCTCTCTGCGGCGACTTGCCGAACAGCTATTCCGGGAAAACCATTCCAACGTAGGAACCTATCAGCACGCCCGAAGTGATATTCTATGCGATCGAATATCGGTCGTCCTGGCCCATATGTAACACTTTTCCGAGCATCCATCGAAACGCAACAAGCGTATACGCGAGTTAGGCGGATTTCAACAACGATTCAGAACAAAGTTGAGACGAGGCCAGGCCTCGGCGCTCCACGGGAAGTTTCCTGTGGAGACATTTCCATGAAGCTAATTAAATCCGTTCTGAGTGAAAGAAATTTGAATTTCAAAGCTCAGTGCTCAACCACACAACAAGCGAAACTTTCGGCAGACTGTGGGTATAGCTCGACTTAGTCGCTCATTGCCTCATTGCATGCCCAACGGAGTCAGACTTCTGCTGAGGGGAGCTGGCGAATATTTTTCAAGATGGGACCTGAGGCAGAAGTTTCGAAGGGACTCGACAATTCGCTGCCCGATGGTTCCGTCCGGCGCGGCGGCCGGGTGATCACTGGGTTCCGCCATCTCATCGAGTCCGGAAACTCCGAGTCAGGTCTACCAGCGTAGCCTGAACGGGAGTGACCAGCGAAGGCTCTCGGAAAGACGAGGCGGAGATGATTGCGCCGTGTTTTCGTCTCGTCAGGATGATTAACGCTGCGTCGTGACAGTTGAATCCGGGAAATGATGGAACAGTCGTGCATGAACGAACGCTCCGCGAGGACTCCGTTGTGGGAAAGGCTTTTTTGCGGATTCTGCCGCAAAGGCCGGCGCCGGCACTGTCAAAGTTTTTTCCTTCTGCTCCGTCCCTCCGTTTTTTCCCGCGAGGCAAACCTCTTCCGGAAGCAATTTGGCGCTTTCCGAACAAGCATTCAATATAGCTCGGGTTCAAGAGTATGGCCGCCTGCCGCTCCTTCTGCTTCGATCACTTCCTTCACTGTCATTCTGATCCGGTGTCCGACGAGATCTTGTAACAGCTCTCGATCGTGAAGCGCAAAGCGGCGGTCGCCAGCCAGATGTTTACTCCGGAAGATTCGGCCGGTTTACGTTTAGGCGAGGGTTCCGACCGCCAGCGGGCCGAGTAACCCGAACCTCGGTCGCCACAAATTCTTTTGCAGATTCGAATTCGAGTGCTTCGAAAAATCATATAGTCTGAGTTGTATGTGCCGTGTTCGTTGCTGAAATAGATGTTGATGGACCCGAGCCGGTCTGCTCCACGGCTCTAATTATTTCCCTAAGTACTACCCGCTACTAAACGCAGTGTCCTGATGGATGTGTTGCGCGACTTCCGCTGCTGTGGAACCTCGTGTCTGAGCTCCCGCACGGCATCAATGAATGTCCTCGACGAAAGCGTCGATAGTAGCAACTCGGCCGCGTCGTCCCCGAACACCCCTAGAGTACAGTTCCGGCCGCCGTACTCATGTCACTTCTACCGTGAGTGATTTCCAACGTAGATGTTTCCGCTACCTCGTTTTGGGCCGGTCCTATCCGGGACCATGTCTCGTCCCATGCAAGACCGGTTCCCACCTCCCCTCTCCCACATCCCAGGTTATGCTGACGCGCCGGGCCCCCATCCTTGTTGTACGTTGTCTCCACGGAGGAATCCTTCCCGACCGAGCGAACTATTTTGAGGGAAAACGCTCACGGGACGTCGAGACACGCAGTTCGGTCTGCTGTGGCTCCAAGCACTATTCCCGTGGAACATCTCCACCATTTTTCCACGTGGGAGTCGCCAGACGGAACGATTCCTCTGAGATGAAGCTCGTCTCGGCTTGAGCTTTGAAGTCTAATGAATCAGCTTGACGAGTTGGATCAACTCGTCATGTTGAGCTCCGGATTTGGAAACTGCGCTGTCGCGTTCCTTGCTTAAACGAGCGCATCTAAAAAAACGTACTGTCTCGGAACCACTGCTCTGAGCACAGAATTCGTGAATGAAATTCTCCGTTCGTGTCCGACATTATTTGCTTTCATGGCTGGGAACGAGCTTGCCGGTGCGGCGCGCCTCACAGCGTCGCTAGAACTCCGATGTGGTTGCTGGAACGAGCTGGAAACAAGGAACTGCGGTTTCCAAGGGGAACTTGGTCTATCCGGTCGCGTTGTCGACAATCAGACGAGGCAACCGGTGCCTCGGAGCCATTTGACAGGGGTAGTGCGTCGGAGGAGGAGAAGGAGCGCCGGCGCCGACTCGGGCGATGAACGCCGAAACGTAAAAGAAAGACAATCGAATCGAGTCGAATTGCCGGTCTCCTTCCGAGCGTGACTCTGATTGAGTGCAGAATTGCCGAAAACGAACACAGTTCCTGATTGGAGCGAAGGTCACGAATCACAGTGGTGGCAACGTCGCTACACCCTCCAACGGCACCGCCGACGCCGCTGTTAATGGGGCAAGCGGAAAAGCAAGGAACTTGCCAGCTTGCGAGCGTTTTGGGCGCTTCTGCGCTGGCCGATGTTGTCACCGGGGCAAAGCCTCTCTAGAGGAGAGGACAGAGTCTTTCGTTCATCCGTCCACCATTCGACCATCGAATGAGTGAAAGAGGAGAAGAAAGAGGGCCACCCGAGTCTAAGGCGGTTTGCTCGGCCGGCGAGCCCACTGGGCCCCCCTGATGCGCCCTCGAGCGTTTTCTTTGTCTCCCATCCCGAGATCAAAGCGCTTCCCACGTCTTTGGGGAGTCTGAGCCAGAGGGATCTACGGGCATCAAACATGAGATAGGGGACGCCAGCCGGCAGAAGCCGACAGACCGAGAGATCGGCTAACGGAGAGACAACAAAAATCTCTTCAAGCGTAGCCGAGGCCGTTGGGTTCGACTCGACGACCCTCTCAGACTTGATCGCGATAGGAAATCTTCGGAATCTCAGCTCCCTGCGCGTGCCTGAGGCTCAATGCATGCGGGCTATCTTTCGTAGTGGACAAGCTACGAGCTTGCGAATGAAAATATACCAACGATTTACTCTTCGCCTGGAAACGCCCTACCGAAGGCATTGGAAAACGGAATATCGCTTCCTCGATACTGGCTCGATCTCGATGATTTCAGAGGAGGAGGGGGAGGTGCCAAAGAGTCGAAAGAAGTTTGTTTCCCGCCACACGGGTGCCCCGAGTCTCATCTCAAAGCTTCGACGTTCTAGCTCCGGGTAAACTGCAGAGAATTCGGACCATGGAGATCGCGGCACTATCTAAGAATCTATCATTCTGGAGTAGCGCCCATGACGCATCACGCAGCCCCGTGCGTTTCGCGAGGAGATAGAGCGGTCGGGACGAGGGGGGGCGCTCTGTCGAAGCTGTTCTGGAATTATTTCAGGGATATAGTATCGTACGTTTATGGTTTGTTTCTGTCGGGTACACTCATAAGAATTATGGAATGAGTTCTAGGGAACGAGGAATGCCTCAGCCCGCTCGATGATTCCATGAGCTCAACAAGCAAGCCAAATCCCAAAGAATCCGGAAAAAAACTCCGGCGCCCCTTCCAGGGTTCGACGCTGGCGGAGAGCGGATGGAACCCCTTCGAGGCGTTAGCAATGCCCCCAACTATCCCGCCTGGTTTAAGCGCTCCTTGTTCGTCCTGTCGCTCTAAATATATGCACCGATGCCCGGTAAAGATCGAGGACAGTCCCTTCCCGCGGTATTTTTTTCTCGAGACACTCGCCAGCAGACAGATCTCTAATGACTCGAGCCACAGCTAACAAGTGTTGTACAGGAGCCCGAAGAGCCCCTGGCAGCAACATGTCAATACTAACTAAGTGGTATCTTCCTCGATTCTCGGGAGAATTGAAGCGGGACTGATTGCAGAGACCAGGGGAAGAGAGACGCCTCGCCAGCGATGTTGAATACATAGCTGCGAGATACACCGCCTCGTGAGGCCGAGGCGCTGAGTTTCCGAGGGCGGGTAGGTCGACGTAGTTATGTGCCAGCGTAAGCAAACTCACGCGGCGCATAAAGTGAAAAGTTGCACACGTTTTCTTAACAGCGGTCGCGAACGCGCCGCCGTATCCCGGAGTCGTGTATTTTCCCTACGCCTTCACAACGCGAAATAATCCTCACTCTCTGACAGCAGGCTCCCGACATCGGGCGAGAAATACGGGAAGCCCACAGGAAACCGGCTGGGTCGGTCTCCGGGCGGATTCGACCTACGAAAAATATCCGAATAAGGAAGCGTGCGGGACCCTACCGAATTGCTAGCTCATGATTCGTTCAATGAGAGTGTTTTTATCTGCGCTTGATTCGCGATGCGGCAGCACGTCCCTGATAAAGAACGTCGAACTGTCGGGGAGTGAGAGCGGCTCTTATCGATCGCTTCGCGCGGCATGCGATATTGATTGTTGCGTCTGGTCATCGTAAGAGCGGAAGCAGGAGATCGTTTGAACGCTCAATGCTCTGATTAATGGTGCAACAATATCATTAGCGGAAAGGGAATCTCACAGGAATACGGACGGCTGGCTATCGTTGATCATGACACGGCGAGCTCAGAGACGCCACGCTGCGAAGGCTCTGCCTCGTTCGGTGCGAATCAGAATGACTTGCTCGCGATATGGATTCTGTCGGAATTCGGACGCACAAACGGGGGAAAGACGACCGAAGTGGATCGTGAACTCGAGCTGCACCCGAGAAACCTTTCAATCCTGGGCTGCTCCTCTTTCAGTGCATTCGAACGTATAAATAGCATCGCAGCGCGTCGCGGGTTTTCTTTAGGACTCCATTGTCAGCGCAGTGGAAGGAGGATCCTTGAGCGCACGTGGGATTCACTCTGATTGCGACGGCAGACAGGGAGGAGAAACGCGGGAAAATGGCACTCGAGATATCCGGGACTTGCGCGGCGCTTATTGGGATTCAAGATTGGATGAGGTTTCCGGTGTTCATCGGAGCGGATTCACCACACAGCAACGTTTTGAAGGGGTTCGCGAGTGCATAAAACGTAGGCGGAATAACTTAATGAGCGAAGCAGCTCGGATCTGGCCGACTTTCTGCTGCTCGGGGAAAAAGAGGATCCACGAACCAGGGTCAACGACAGACAAGAAAGGATTCGAATTCTGTTCCACACAGAATACATCTGTCTTAGCAACTGAATCTTGATGGAATTCATCAATAGATCACCGACGGTATCTGGGCTGTCGTTGGTCGAGCATTTATCGCCACGATTTAATTCTCCATCGATTTTTCCTCTGTACTCGAGCCCAAGCCCCACCGATGCGAGCCACCCGAACGAGGGAAACAACATCGCGTCATTCCTCGCACTTTCGCTGTTCCTCTCAAATGAGCATCGTGTCTGCGGACGGGAACCGGGGAGCGAAAAGTGGCGGGTGAGATTGGAGTTGTCGGTATGCAATCGTTCTCGCCGGTAGTTATGAACCCGGTCAACCTTCTGCCCGAGCTCTGATGCCTCCCGGTCGATAGCCACGTATTCCTCTCGCGGATAAGTCGCAAAAAGATGGTCCGTCTAAACTTTCCTCATTGTTGTTGCTGTTGTTTTCTTTGCAGGGCAGGGAATGCCCGTGGCCTGCGATCCGTCTTTCAGTCGACCCGGGGGCTCGGAGTCGCTGAACAAAAAGACAGATTCGAGCAGTAGCAGGAAGACATCCGAGGTGTCCTCCCCACAAAGTCCCGATGGCGGAGCGAACCAAGTGAATTCAGACGGCAACTCGACGTCGAGCGCTTCAATGGCTCCAGGTCACCAGCAGTCGACGACAGCGACGACAACAGCGACGACGACAACCCCGACATCAACAGCAACAACAACAACAACGGCAGCTACCGCACACACCCGACTAACTTCATCCGTGCTGCGAGCTTACCATCGACTCTTTAAGAGCTTCCGCAAAGCATGGACCGGCGTGCGCTTCGGTGAGTGTTTTTCTCTCGTCTGGGTGATTGAGTGAGCGACTTGCATCTGTACGAGCGTGGCGCAGACTCGAAACTCGGACTGACGCTTTTAGACCGCTCGGTGTTTTGGTCGATCCGTGTCGTGCGTGTAGGTTCTCGAGACTTCCCGACGCTCGAGTCGAGACGATGCGTGCGAGTTGATTTTGATTAAAAAGTTTTGGATATTCCACGACAGCGAACAAGAAGGGTGCCTGCTCCGGAGGAAGATGGTCTGAGACCTCTGAAACGTTTTGTATACACTGAGTGAGAAGAACACACGGAGTTTCGGTGATAAAGAAAACTGAGTCAACTTCTCCACCCCGAATTTCCATTTGACGAGGCCCCGCAAGCTCTCGCTGGGATCGACCGGCCGCAGCGGAGCATGTTTTCACGTCCGATGGTCAGCTGCCGTGCTTTTCGAAAAGCCCCACTCAAAAACTTAGTTTAGAGTTCCACTCGGGGCGCTTTAGCTGTCTGCGCGGAAATTCATAGCTCCTACGAAAGCACAAATGTGCCCGACAAATCGTATCCAGCAAGAATCTGTTCAGGGATGTTTTTCCTGTCTCCGGACGTCCGAATAGTGAGCTCACTGACGTGCCTCCATTCTCTTCGAGCGTAAAGATTCAGAACATTTTTGAGGCATGTTCCGTTGAGGTCCATGCTGTGTACGGCACCGAGGAGAGAATTCCACTTAAGCGTAGAGGGCCGATCGAATTTCTCCGTATTTGCTTTAGAATCCACCCCCGTAGATTCATTCCTCGATTCAAGATTGGACGTGTTTTAATTAATCGTACCTACCGTTAATATACGACATGAGTAACGGCAAGGTTCAAGTTCCGAACAGAATATCCCCGGTACCTGGGCTTTCTCGGACGAAAAATGAAATCATCTCTGCCTGCACTCGATTCAGTGCGCCGATCAGCGGATCCGTGTCGCTGGTCGCCGATCAGTCATTCTCGCAATCAGACGATCGATCGCGATGGCTGACGATAAGCACAAGCATCGGAGAGGGATGACGAGCGCGAGTATTCGAGAATTAAATGTCTGGCTTAAGATGGACTCGCTCAGAGCGATTTGCAGCCACAAAAGCGAGTCCGATAGATTCCCGAAACGCTCAGAGGCGTCTGAACATTTCTCTGTCATGACTCATGACCTTGGTTATTTTCGAGAGGTGAAAATCATGAGCTCGGGAGTACACGCTTGTCCGAGGGAGGGGTCGCCGGATTCCCGAGCCATGCGCGTCAAGCCGAAGCGACCGGCGGGAGGTCCGGGACCTCTCGAGATCCGATTGCATTTCACGGGTTAACGGATCGCTTGCGTAATGGATGACTGCAATAACACTGACACGCCGCATATGGGTGAACCGAAAGAATACAGCTGTGTACTCAGAGCTCCGGGTCCGGTCAGGCCCGAAAGACGAATAAGCCTGAAGATTATCAGCGGTGTAATGGGAGCCGCATTCGGGTTACTTTGGGAACGAGACATCATAATAAATCTCGCAGCATCCCATTCCGTACTAAAAGGGCTCGAAACGATCGCAGACAGTGGGAAGATGCCCGCATAAAAAATCTATTACATTTCCACTCGTTAGGGCCGGGGGAGGCGACACTAATCTTGCTCGCCATAATTCTCCCCGCCGACATTGATGAGCAGCTGACGAGCAGATGAATGGCGCAACCCTCGAATGCCTGAATGGAGCATGTCTCTCCGCGGTAAGATTGTTTCCAGTTTCCCCTTTTCCACTCGATTCGGAGGTGTGGCTGAGCGCCAATTACCCACAACATTGGCGGCTGCGGTCGCGGTAGAACGCACGGTCGAGTAGAACTCGCCGTCCTGGCTGCCCTCCCGCCGCCGTTGTCATCATCGTAAGCTCGAATACCGTCGAGTCTGCGCGCCCGGCAGCCTCTTATGAGATCGATACACGCTGTTGCCATAGTGGGCAGATCCTGTGGTCACCTCGGTGTCTCGCCGTCTTTTCCGCGTGGACTCATTCTGCTCGAGGACTTCCGGTGTCGTGTTGGATGTCTTCGACGGGGATAACGGCTACGGAGATGACAAGTTCTTTTGCGCGATTACCGTCACGTCGTCTGCCTGGCTAAGTACCGACGCTCCGGCTGGAGGCTGGGCGGGCGGGTCTATGAGGCGGCAAAGACGCTCTCACCTGATGCGGCCTCGCTCAGCGCTCAACACAATGGGCCTCAATCTGAGTGGCCCTGGGGGAGTGACGGGAGCCATAAAGATTAATGAAGAGACCTGATGGTGGACGCCGCCGTCGCTTTCGAAGGCACCGGGGTCCCCGGTTCGATAACGACAGCGAACGAGTGGAGCAATATTTGCTGATGTAGCTCCGACGCATTCGTCCCGTTGGACGGTCCCTCGCCCTTGCCGTTCGCTCGACTATCCGGTGCTGGCGGTGGTGTCGCTGCAATCCGGGACCACAATGCATCCGGATATACCTTCCTCCCCGTATTCTTAGACAGCAGCTCGACAGGCCGGATAAGCGACTGGATCGGGCTCGACCAGCCGTTTATCCAGCCACAAAACTCACAATGACTCGGTCTGGCTCCCTGAGATATCGCCCACGGCGTCCGCTCACTATGCGGCTCGAATCTCCAGCGGAAATCTAATTGAGGAATCCGCTGAATCGGCATAGAAAGAATCATCAAATGAAGCGTGAATGCAATTTCCGATGTGCGGCTCCTTTCGCAATCAGCTGTAGAGTAACTTCATCGGGACTGTGCGGGCGCTGCTGGCGAGAACGTCTGAGCTTTACTTTTGATTCGCCAGAGTCTTTTCTGCTAGATTGCCCCCGGTTCCTAGTCTGCTTTCCTGATGGCCGACCGCTTTCTACAATCGGGAGCAACCACCCACCTGCTCGTGAGCTCAATCTCGGGGACGCTCCTCCGCGGGTCCTGCTGGCCTGCCTGTGCGAGATGACGGAAATTCCGTGCCTGGAATTTCCGCGCCCAGACATGAGGACTCTCCCTCCGCAGATATGTATCGACCGAATAGTGTGAATTAGCGCCTGTCGGATCGACCGAGGCATACAGGTAATGAGGTTTCCGTGGTGAATGTGAAACAGAATTCCTCTGCGCTCGGAGATCAATTCGCGGTGAAGCTCCGACTCGAAAGGATCGTCGAATCACCATCTGCTGCAGGTGGTTCGGAGTTATAAGCCGATCCGGAAAAAGATCCCTGTTCGGTCCAGGAAACTCGAGGCACCACAACTGGTGAGCGCTCGGCTGCCCGTGTTTTCTTATCTGACCGAGATGTGATCCCGCGTCTCCTGCCCCCGGCTCCTCCGACAGTCTGTGAAAATTCCTCCCGGTGTGAGCAATACCTCATGCTCGGCTCCGTCATGGGGACAGGTCATTCAATTTAATTTAATCATATCAATAATCGTCGAAAGTAGCGCATACGAAGAGCCCCCGATCGAAGCTCAGGAATTTCTTCCGAGGAATAACAGAAGGAGGAATTCGGTCTCCTTTTCCAAAGACATTCTCCTGTCAGCCCACACAGAAGGGGAGGTGGAGCCGTCGGATTCTCCATTGGAATGAAAGCGAGTCAGCACCAAACCTGTGCCGTCAGGAGTGTGAATGCGGTTAGTCGGCTTCCCGGGTCGAGGAGGGAAGATCGTCGGCACGAGAATTTTTCAATGGCTCTTGCTCCCCGGCCTGAGCTTGTCGATCCTCCACTCATGGCCCAGTTTCCTTTCTTCCTCCTTCCTTTTCGACCATTTTCCAATCAGGCCCGCCTAATCCCCGAATCGAGGAAGCTCGCCGCTATCAGCAAAGCGCCAAATCCTTCTGGGCTATCGAATATTGAAAAAAAATTGCTGACCGAAACTAGGCTCCTCTCATTGACCCGCATCAATCTATTGCCGAGCTGGTAATAGATTGAGGTCATGCCTCGGGATAGAGGTATTACTCCCAACGTGGGTTGCTCAAGCCCGCTTCCGTCCTAGCCCGCATTCTTTTCCTTGCTTGATAACTGCGCTTGCTTCACCGCCCGTTCCCGAGCTACCTTGTCTTGCTTCCCTTTCCACAATCATGCGAATATGACGGCGATCCCCTCCAGAAGGGGGGAATATTTAATAATTCGTCGGATGGTTGGCTGATTACCTTCGGCTCCCAATAGGGCTCTCCCGCGCGCGATAGGACCGCTATTGAACGAGCCGAGATTCAACAGCTCCCTCGAGGGACGTCATCGCTTTCTCGCAATCTCCAATCCCCAGTTTCTGCTTTTCACTCCCATTCTGCAGTGCGGGAAAATGGAATTTCAATGTAAATTATTTCGCAAGTTCGCTAGCTTGCCGCGCCCTCTAATCATTGCGCTCGTTAAAATAAGCCACTACCTAGATTTCATTCGCGCTTCACGAGTTTCCCATGAGTGCTGCTAACGGGAGAGATTTATCTACATCGTCGTGTGATACCGACGTGTCCTACCACCAGGTCTGGTGTCCTTGCGTAATCGATAGGAATTCTTTCCAGACGATGAAGTCGAGGCGATCCCCCTCCCCGCACCTCGCCACCAACCTGATCGCATCGGGGACCTGCTCAAGAGGACCAAGTTTAACCGCAGTGAACTTAAGGTCAACTCTCTCTACAGATCTTTCTCGCCAGCTCAGATTTGCGCTCAGACGGATCGTTCATGGATTCATCCCTCTTTCCCATTCTAGGTTATGTACCAAGGCTTCAAACAGGTTTGTCCTAGCGGGCTTGTCGACGAAAATACTTTCCGGGATATCTACGCTCAATTCTTCCCCCAAGGAGGTGAGTCTGAGATCGATTCCATAAGAAGGTATGACAAGCTTTTAGAAGATATCCGGGTCAGGGGCTTCTCATTCGAGCTCTGACCCCGTCGGCATACCAGTGGATTCCAGGATGAGCTCTTGCTCCGTGAATGTGCTCGTACTTCGACTGGCGCGGAGCGTAGCTGGCGAGGTTTGTTGTCTGATTAAAAGTTGCAATTCGAGCTAGGACCAATTTGTTTAATTGACATAAAACTCAAAGCTTCCCAGGCGGGCTCCCAGCCAGTCGCGTTGTTTGCCTGTCTCCTAACTCGATAGTTAGCTAACCCTGTTGTCACAAGCCATCGACTTGATTATTCCAAGATGGAAAGGAAGGAGTTCCGAGCGCTTTTCGCGGGACTCGAAGTCTTCCGATAGAGCATGGGAGATTCCTTCCCCGAGAGCTCTCACTGGAATTAGCTCCGTAGCGGAACGGTTAAGACTCTAAAGCAGAGCGGGAGAAGAGGAACCTACTGGTCGGGAGCGCACAGGGCAGGCCTCATGATGCCTCCGATATTTTCATTTACACTCAGGAATAAGTAGATTGGATGCATAGGAGCTCCGCTCCTTTCCACCGGAATTAGTAATCTGGGTAGTCATAGCTCGAGACTTCCGCGAGCGAGTCCCTACGACGTTTACTCTGGGGAGAACTTTCAATAGTACTAGATTCAAGATTGACCTCATGCGGAGGCAGAATGGTCATCAATTGATGGAGCGATTCAATCGAGATTCGGAAGCAGCAGGAAAGAAGCTGTAGAAGTTCGAGCTCCTTTTCCTGGCTCCGAGAAATTCATTCAGCGGTCGATGATATGGGTGATTCAGGGAGAATATCAGTAGAACCAGTAGTACCTGGTAGAATGATCAATTCCGTTCTCTGAAATATTGAATGGGGAAAAATACGGACCTTGAGTTAAGGCCGTTCGGCTTCCAAGTCAGAGATAAGAGTGAGATGATTCTGGTTCATGAAGGGCTCGTTGATGGATTCGACGTATTCGCATACATTGAAACGCTGAACTAGCTGCTCTCAATGGCGAAAGAGTGTCCGATTTCGAATGTGACAGGCAATAGTTCTTGCGGTGTACTTCGAAATACTCAATTGAATAGCAAGACATCCCTCCGATCTCGTTATTCGAGAGGCCCGATGTAATCTTCGACTCCGTCTTGGAAATCTGTGTGCTCAACTGCGAGGCCGCATGCATTCCCCTGATCATTCTTCAAGCGATTCAAACTGCGAACTGAAGCACACGCTCACGCAAAAAGTATAGCGGGTGGATTCCGGACTTCTGCGGCAAAATACGTTTCTCTCCCCATCGACGCGACGGCTAAACCGTTTTCCTACCTCTCGGTCGGGAATCCTCTCCGAGTCTCAATACATCCCGCTAGGTGATTCCGGAAAGTCTGCAAACATTCTGGGGGTGGAGATCCAGGAGAGAGGACAGACTTCATTCTGAGAGGAAATACCGTCCTCCTCTTCGACTGAGAGCGGAGCTTTCTTCCAGTTGGGTTCTCTTAAGGGTCTCGCCTCGAGTTCGCTCACTCGACAAAATTAACTCCTAGCAAGCGAGGGACAGCGAAACCAACTCGCGGCACCGTTTTCAACGAGCCCACTGTCTGGAAGGGTCGCTCCTCGCAGACGCTCCCAAGTTGCGTACTTGAAAACACATGAAGCCCTTCCGTACCGTCGCAGGTTCCACGTGCACGGGCCAGGAAGACAAAAGCCGTACGAATGAGGGCGAACGAGAGCGTCCGTTCCCACCGTCGGAGCAAATTCAATATCGAGCTCGGGACCAGCTGTATTCGTGTTTCGAGTTCCATGTCAACAAGCTTAATTGAATAAATTTCGTGACAAAGAATATCTCCCTTTCTGGCTTCACTGCCCCAGGACTCGGGCGAGTAACTCTCTGCAGCGAATTATTCCCTACCTAAAAGCGCCTAGACCAACATTGAGATCTGCAGTCGACCGACCGTAGGAGACACGAAGTCCGCCCCCTATGGAACCTGGCAGCTGAGGGCGAGATGTAGGTAGCGACCGAGTCAATATCGTTACTAGCGAGCTCGAATTCGGGAGCGACTGTTTCATCTCCTCTTTCCTCTGTGGATCGCCTCGGGTTCGGAGTTATTTCTCGGCCCGAAAACCACTACCCCCACAGATCATCGTTCGAGAGCCGCTCGCTCGTCGGAAAATTGCCGTCGTCCGGGCGAACCTGTCTGAAATAAACTCGACAAACGAGAACGCAGAGACGGGAAGAATTGCAAAAACTCCCGCGATATCCGGGGCGAGGGAGAAAGAGGCACAAGGAAAACGCCGACGCTGCCGTCCGCCTCGCTTTCGCTTTCCCAATTCCCAAAAAAACTCGTCCTATATTTACCCTCGATGATGTCGGAGCTCTTTTGAACTCAGCTGTCAGCCGGTCGAACCGCTTGCTGCAATCGAATCAGCACCTGATTAATTCTCCACGCAGACGATGGTATTGTCCCGGTTCTGCCCGGGACAAGCAGCTGTGTGACAGCTGATTACGGGGTATGAGCTAACCACGGCCTCGGGGAGGGATAGAGAGAGCGTTGAAGTCTCGTCTCGATTCAAGATCGATGTTTATTATTCGTCCAGGCACTGTTTCGATACTAATTTTATCATGTTACCCTGCTGACGCATCTCCCTGAATTACCCTTTCAGACGCAACTCTGTACGCGCACTATCTATTTCTGGCGTTTGATCAAGACCACAATGGGACGGTTACTTTCCATGACTTCGTCACTGGCTTGTCTGCCCTTTCGCGAGGTAAGTGGTTGTTGCACAATCTCCGTCGCCGTTGACTGCGGCTATTATATTCAACCAGTTTGTTTTGAAGTGGAATCCTGTGCCTACTCGACGGGCACTAGTTCGCTCGGCGCACAATTGTAGGGCGCGGGAGAAAAATTGCAGACTGCGTTCCTAACCACCGGTTCCCCTGACAGCGAGCAGAAACTCATCGCAAGCGTTCCGGTCCCTAAGCCTCAAAGTTTCTCAGGGGCTGTTCAATGTGGAGTCAATCCCAGTTTCGCGTACACAGTACACGCGTTTGGTACGTTGGTGCCATGCCGACGAAATACGAACACTCACAACTAGGGCCGAAATCTCGCTGCTGCTTCTGACAGCTTCGACATGTTGGGGTTTTCAAATAACTGGGCGGCTGCACATCTCGGTGGAGAAAGAGAGAACGGGAGGCCAGACGGGCGCAAAATGCGGAGAGGTGGAGGAGGCCGAGCGAGTTGGGAAACCAAACAACCAACTTCACTCGCTGCTGCTGCTGTTCTGATTCTGCCCTGGTTCCGAGTCTGCGAAAAAACATGACCAAGAGCCAGAAGCCCGCTCCACGCACATTCCCGCGTCACATCCAGAGGTCCGTCAATTTTCACTCGAGCACAATGTTTGTGCCCCGACGCCACGTGATGCACTGCCGGAATCCCCCGTTAGCCGGTGAACTCGACTCACTCAGTCACTGATCGATTTCGTTATGTAGATGAGACGGAGACACCGTCAAGGATAACCAGAGCAAGAAGAGAACCACCGGCTCGCTTCAAGCTCCACGAAGCAGGGTCACTCCATCGTTCCTTTCGAAATGCTCCTCTAAAATATGACGGGCAGCGTACTGAACCAAGTCTGTGCGTTTGACATATCGCTCGAAGGCGACTTTCAAGAAACATAGGCGCTTCGGAGATTTTTCGGGGTCCGTCAGTAAACCGATCGGTGGGTCTCTCAAAACTGAATTTCCCATCCCAATGCTCCTGATAGAGTCCTTCGAGACATTCTCTTCTCAAATAGCGGATTCCCTCCGCATTTCTGGAGTGCTCCGGAATCGTGGTCGAGACGACTTGCCTCATCAATTGAACGTGGCTCCCACGAAGAGGAATGCTGACATAAGCTGACGTCTGTTCGGAATTATCGCTTCGTGGTTGTGCTCGGAACGAGGTCGCTCCCCCAGACCGAGGCAAAGAACAAGGGAGCGCATCTGGAATTCCCCGTCACGACGCAACGTCCGTCCTTGTTATCTACGAATTGAAGCTTCTCGTACAGACAGTTCGCGAATCGACCTCACCCAATCAGACAGAAATAACAAACAATATCCGATTATTTTCATTCTCTTATCAAGGCCAAAAGGCTGCATGCTCGATGTCGTGCGCTATTCTGGCAACCTCCGCCAAAAACTCAGACGGATAAGCCGCGAGACGCTTCGACAGCCTTCTCGCTGCCTCGATGTTTTCCCTGAACTTCGTCATCTATGCCGGCGGCGCCGTAATTTTTTGCCTTAGACCTCCTTGGGCGGAGTAGACCTCGGGCTTTTAATGGCCCAAACGAATTAAGCTCCGACACGCGGACATTATCAGTCGTCGATTCCCAAAGAACGACGACCACCGACCGCTGTCACCATCAGTGGCTTTATTCACCGTTGGTCGAGCTCCGGAGAATGGCGTCTGACACGGCACGTTATCTCGCGTCAATCCGGTCATGTCCTCAACTGGTGTCGAAATGACGAGTGAGATGTTGACGCGACTGCACGAGCCGTCATTTTGCTGACGGAAAGTTTCTCGAGAGCCATCGGTCATTTTGCTCCACCCGATTTGAAGCGCGAAATTCGTGCGGAGCTGACAGAGGCTCAGCTAATCGTTGCGGCCCTTGCGACACCTGGGACCCCCCATTCACAACATCCTGCCTCGCTGTAGGTGGCATCGTATTGTCGAGAAACTCGATCACGTTGGCGAGCCAGGTCCATACCTGCCAGACCTCTGCGGGCCTGTATCACTTGTTGCACGTCTCACCGTGGAGTCGGACCCGTCGAGTCAACTCCCTCCCCGGAATCGAAATGGTCCTAGAGCGTCTTGCGCGCCGTTCCTTCCCTGCTAACTGAAAGAACCCGCTGCCGATGTGACCGCAAAGCGGACGAGGTTGCTCGGCGAGCCTCCAGAATTCCCATCTGTGGAGGAAAATGAACAAATGAGGTGATAGCTGGCGGACGGGATTAGGATGAATTCCCAACGGTACTTTCAGGGTCACCGCTGGAGAAGCTCCGATGGACGTTCAATTTGTACGACATCAACGGAGACGGTTGCATCACCAGAGACGAAATGATGGAAATCATACACTCAGTGTATTCCCTGAATGCAGACAACTCGCCCGAGGGACCGAACGGCACCAACGAGGTTCCACAACAACACGCTAACAGGGTTTTCCAGGTGGGTTCATTGTGTGCGACGAGTATTCCATGCGTGGCCGCGGATCTGTCGCCTAGTAGCAGCAGCAGCAGCTTCAGTAGTGTCGTTGTTAACAGTGAGCGTCGAATGCAGGGGGATGAACACCGGAGCCGACGGGAAGACGAGAGCGGAAGTTCGCGACACAATTCGACGCGAAGACTTCCCGATAGCGGGGAGTCGACACGTCGGCTTCGCACGCCGCCGCCGCCGCATCCTATTTGAGCGGGGACTTTCCGCATCTTGACTTCACCCAATCAGATTTGAGCTAGGATCGAGTGCGGAACATGCATCAGAGCCGATTATGAGAACGATTCTCGACGATCCACGGCTTGGAGCTTCATGCTGACACCGGAAGGGATTTTCTCCATTCTCATTTTGGGAATGCCGGGGTCTCGGGACAATGAAGGATCTGGGAAGATGTCTCCGAGCTCTTGTGTGACCCGAAATAGAAACATGGAAAACTGCGTCGAGTTGGAGACCGTGAGTGTCGAGGAAAGAATCTACGCAGAACGAACTCGGCACGGAGCTTCCCCGGTGGGCGGAATCGAGTCTCCAACCCAAAAATTATCATCTCCGACAATTTCGTTCAAATAATTCTAGTGGATTAGCGTCAGCAACGACACGATCGGGGATAGGCGAGTGTTCTCACGTAGAGGATGGCGAGACAATATTGTTCGAGTATCTCGGTGGCGTCCTCCACCGGCCGAGAATTCAACGATATTTTCAATCACCGAAGACTTTGAATCAGTGTTGTTTCGGTCGCGTTCCTTGTTTGCGGGTTTCGGAAAGAGCCGGATCCTTCATCCTTTCAGCCTCGTTTTTTCCAATCCTGCTCCGCTGCGACCGGTTTGCGCAATCTCTTTATTCGAACGTCCAGCGGCTGGTCGAGCGGAAACTCGAACGACAACGGACACGAGGTCGTTCAATCAGGGGACCCAGGCTACGGTTCGCGAGTTTTTCCTTCCGAACGCTTTCGACGAGAAATCTTCGGCGTCGCATTCAGATCTTTGGGATTAGTTTCCATATTTGAGCTCGGACTGACCGATCGCGAATCGCCGAATACTCGCCAGTGGAAGGGTGTTGCTGTAGCACTCCTTCCGAGGAAAAATATCCGTCGGAGACATTCGATGGGGACGCGGTGCGGAGGTCCCGCCTAGATCTTGGAGTGACCGATCGGCTACTGAGGCGTGAAGTGTCCGAACGCCGATATATCGGTCCGGTCAGGTCTCTCATCGGAAACCGAGTACAAAGGAAGAACATCAGGTTCCCGAAAGTGCTATAACGATTGCGGACGAAATATCGGTCACGGTGGTGCAGGTGGAGCTGCCGTTGAGCTCGAATCGCTCAGCGGAATGTGCGGTCGATCGGCAACGAATCAAAATATTCCACATGACTCCTTCCTTCTACCCTGTGTCCCTATCTGCAGCATCTCGATATCCTCCTCTTCACGCTCCTTTCCGGTGCCCCTCTCATGTTACTCTCTTTTCCCTTGAGCTCCAGTTTCCCTCAGTATTCCTCTTTTCCTTCATCTGGGCATCATCCTCGCTGTATCGACATTCTCTGGTCAAGGAGCCGTCCGTTCCTCCGGCGGAAACCACCGGCTTGTCATTGACCCCTCCCCCGCTCGCGTCTGATCCCGACGCTGTCGATGAAATCTATTATCGCCTGAGGCTTCTCCCATCGTTTTCCCTCCTAATCAGGCTGACCTCGTTATAATTCGGACAGCTCGAGAGGAAAAGCGAACCCACAGACTCGGTCGTCGGCCCCTATGGGCTTCCGCTCCTGAGGAAAATTGCGAGGAAACATTCTCCTGAGATGAAACACAATGAAACTCGAAGTTTTGCTACAACATATCTTTCTTGTATTATCCCTGATAATTCGCGGCAACGATCAGGGTCAAAGCCTCTACGTTACGTGCGGTGCATGACGATAGACAGGAGCAAAGATCTAAAGCGAAATCACTTTATCGTCCACAGAAACTTGACGCCAACAATGACGGCATCGTCACCTTCGATGAGTTCGTGTCAACCTGCTTGAGCGATCAGAACATAATCAAGTCGCTCTCCATCCTCGACACCGTCCTCTAACATGCCTCCGTAGTCGCTGTTGTTATAATCGTCGTTGACGTCGCGTCAATATCGGTCGGAACATCGTTTCTACCGCAATCCAACCCCTTTGACTCCTGCGGTCGGTAGCTTCTCTTTATCGTTTGAGGATATTCCATTCTTTCCGCTTCTGTAGATAAAGGACTACGAGAACGACGTGAACGGCAACGACGTCACGATTATCATTGTGTTCAGAAACCGTCGCGATAAGACTGACGCGGGCGTTTAGACGGCATTGGTGACGGTAACGGCTACAGCTTCGGACGGACGACTTCGAAAGCTCGAGCAGCTGTCTGCCGCGGTATTGGCGGCCGCAACCGGTGCCATCGGCGCTGTCTATCTAGAAAGGTCTAAAACCAAATGCGAGCCACACCTGCTTCGTTCTTCATTTTGCTCACATGACACCACCACTCGCTCACTCACCGAAACATACAGTGAACGCGTAGAAGCGGAAGCAGAAAAGGGAACACAGACGAACATTTAGACAGAAGAACTGACCGGAGGTCAGCTGTGCAGTTTTGTGGATGGTTATCCAGGCGTTTAGTGTAGAGAAACAGCAAGAGTATGTTCCTCTGCAGAGGCCAACAGAGTTATCTGAGGAAATGTTAATAAAACTACAAACAATAATGGATCGAGACAAAATGTATGAAGAATCGATAACAATTGAAAATAAATAGACGGTTAAAGCAGATATGAGAACGTTTACACCATGCTCTTCATTTCCCTCGAGGAAGGTGCCGTGGGCACGGGGCTTCCCGTGAGAGGGTAGCAGTCAACGCCCTTGTCGCAGACCTGTACGACTTCCTACTCCATGAAAATACGATAAATTGCAGCGCTATTTTGTAGAAAATTATCTCTCCAGAGAAATGCTCTCTTGCGTGGAGTTCTCTCCCGCGAAGAATTCTCGATTTCCATTCTCCTCGTATTCCGACCCAGTCGACCAAGGGCCTCGACACGTTTCCCGTTCTTCTCTAAGCTTTCAATTCGTATTCTGCTCGACGTATGCCGAGACCCCGGATATGAACGCGAGAAGGAACGAGTCCCACAGCATTATCATAGAGGATAGCACAACGCTTATGAGATTTGTCGGAACAGTCGAAACCGACTACGACATCAGCAACAAGGACGTCGTCGCAGGCAGTTGGCGGTTGCTTGGGTGATACGTCTCTCGCGATCATTCCTGCACGCAGCGGCCCGACAAACCCCTCGTCAGAAAACGGACTGCCTGCCTGCTTTCATACATACAAATATATCTCATCTTAGACTCTCGCAGCTTCCACGAGAACGGAGTGGTAGCCCGACAAATAGTCGTCGGAAGAAAGCCGACTGCCCGCCTTCATACATACAAATACATATATCCCATACTACGGTCTTGCTCATTCACAGCCGCAGCTCACTGGAAGAAGGCTGGTCGACCGACCGACCGCCCGCCAGCTTATAACAGGTTCGACACAACCTATATAAATCTTTTTTGGTATAAGGCTCTCTGGCTCCTTGTGCGCTCCTCACATTTACACCTGTTTTCCCTGGTCGTCAATCTATTCTCACATCGTACGCTTCGTGTGAGCCGCTGTTGCTGCATCCGCCTCGAGTTTCATCCACAGCCGACGTATATGTACGTCGAGCTCTGCTGGGTGGATCACCTGACGCTTGCTGCTACACGCCGTGTTTTTCGGTGAAGATTATTGATTGTGTCCTCGTAGGTTTCCCGTAGCCTGTATAGCCGCCAGCGCCTTCTCGAACCTCTACTATGTAGTTTACGAAGACAAGGGAGCTCGAGCCGGCGCGGGCGCTGCCCCGTGGTCCGCACCGAAGTCTAGGATTGAAGAACTTCCCGAGATTCCCGGTTCGTGAGACGTCGCTCTCGTTCAGACACTCGACTCCGTAGGGCGATTTACGCGTCGCGATGCCTCAGAGGCGATAGAAGGCGGTCTCGGAGCAGAGTGGCTCGATATCGACGGCCAGCAGATGAGGAGGTCCTCTCCGCTTGACTCCTAGGAATCCGCTCGCTGAAGCGATACTGTATCCTCGGTTCTAAGACCTCCCGCGAGAAAAGTTCCTGGCGCCGCCGCCGCGAGTTTCGAGTGCGGAGCGCGACCGATGCACTCGAAAGGCCCCTTCGAGGAACCGAGACCGGAGGAAGAGTTTAATCGCCAGAGTTCACGATGACACACCTCAACGAGTGCCATTCCACCAAATTCCCGACGAAACAATAAGCGACCAATCGCGTTTCGCGTGCGAATCGGATAACTTCGAAATGGAAAAGCGGAAGTCGCCCCCAAAGCCTGGAGGTGAGCATCCGCTCCCCAATCTTGGCCAGGCCCGTCCGCGATCGGCCAGAAAGATCCGCGGGCCTAGAGATTTAATTTCAACATGATCAGGACTCGATCTGAGGGATTCTGGCGTCCGCTGCTGTGGAATTCTACGACATTCCTAAGGAGCACACTACGGAGCGATACGACGATTCAAATAGGCGATTATATAATTATTTAATTCAGTACATTGTACTATATTGTGAGCTGAATTGGAATATTCTAACGACAGGACGAGTAGGGCAAATCATTCGCAGGCGGAGAGCGCACGTTCGTGCATCGCCGTTGGGGAGCAAGAGAGTACCTGTACGGAAAGCAAGAAGCCATTGCTTGACTGAATAAGAGCTAATTGTGTTCTCTCCAGATACGCCTCAATGGCTTCTTCTCGCCCTTGGGCTGGAAATCTCGTTATTCCAGATAGATGTCATCCAACTTCAAGTACATGCACACAGCAGCGCTGGGGCACTAGGAGCGTCTCCTGGCCGGCCGGCTTGACAACGAGCGAAAGTTACGCAGGCATGAGATGAGCACTCGACAAGAGATCTTCGGTCGTTGAACACGACGAGAGGGGACTCAATTCGCCGAGTTGAGTCCGGAGCTGCTTGCTTCATGCATTAAGTGACTCTCGAGATGATTCTCTCAGATTAGCAACGAAAGCGTACGGGACGTACTCCTGGCTGACTGTCCGTGTGGAGAATCCGAATCGCTGTCACCGGTAGACTCTTACTCGAATTTATGTCCTGGGACTTTAACATCAACGCTGTCCAGGAGTCAGTCCGTATCTCCGACCGAGAGCACGTCCCGGAATGAACTCGGACCGCTTTTTCATATTCTCCTCGCTATGCTTGAGTTCTCGTTGCCCCTTTCGCTGGAACAAATGGCTCGTCAATCCCCCCACGATAGCCGATGTACGCGGGGCCTCGCAGCAAATAATCTACCTGCAGATCACTGGACAGCAATCACACCCGATTCCGGAGCAACAGCTCAACGGAGAAAAAGGAGCGAGATCAACTCGATCTCCCGAGGTTCCCATGGTGCACAGCCACGGCTCTGACAATCTTTCCCGCGATCCGTCACGGATTAATACCCGGGTGAATTATTTAGTGTTCTGCCGTCACGGTGTTCCATTTATCCACGTATACTCACAGAGATCCCGGCGTGGGCGAATCTCGGCTTTTTCTCCGACCTACGACCCGTATCGAGTTCGCTCCCCTCAGTGGGGACTTCGGACAGACGGACAGATGGACCGATACACCTGCGTACATGAGTTGGAGGACGAAGCCCGACGTACATACGTAGGTCGCATTCCGATGCGACTACGATGCGGCATGTCGGAGTCGGTGATACCACCACCACCACCACCACGAAGTATGAAGAGCTCAGTCGGCGGCGCTCGGAGCGGGCTACGAACAGGCGCTATATTCGCTCGGAAGAAAGTGTTCGAGGCTTAGCGACGTTGATAGCGTCGTCGGCGGAGCGCTCGAAGCCGGATAGCTGAATGGCTCACTGCCTTTCGCGGTCGCTGAGTGATCTCATCCGAAGCTGAAGTCTTTTGCGAGATAACCAGCAAACCCAGCCAGGTGAAGCCTTCGGGGGAGAACCGAGCGACGGCGCGTTGTCGGCCGACGGCTCAGGTGGGAGTCGCTCCTCTAGAGAGGGAAAACAAGACACACAGAGCTCAAGCAGGGGAAGCACTCGACAGCCGCAGGATAAACTTTCTTCTTGAAGATTGAGGAGAAGATGATCTTTTCGGGAGTCTGCATCCTCGAGCGCTTGCCAGACCTTCTTAACAGAGGAGACAGATCAAATCCTACAACGTCACAAGGATTTCCTTGAGGTGACGCACCACCACACTGAACTCGGACAGTATTTCGGCGGTCTCCAGCGACATCTCATCAAGCTCCCGAGAGAATAAGAAAAAAAGGGAACGAAAAATGACAGGCATTTTTTTCGGCGCAGTCCGCACATACATGCGGAGGGAGAAGCGAGGCAGCACCGAGTGCGAATCCGTATCAGCCGGGAGAAAATCTCAATTCTACTGACAGAAATAAGTTACGATCGGCTCGGAAAGATCGTTAAGTTTCTCTCTGGAGACGCCACGCCGCCGTCGTTGGTTCCCACATGAGTTGGGGAACGAAGCCGCCGAGCCCAAACTCGAAATGTGTTCGAATGTCGCTAGTGAGCAAGATAACCTCAAGGTACGAGCCACTCTCTGCGCTCTTTGCCGTTCATGCGCTTGCGAGGTGCCACTCTCAAGCTGCGACACACGAGAAAACTTACTGAATGTCTACGAGCGGAAGGGGAAGATCAACCACCTACGCCAGACTGAGATCGGGGCGCCCAATTTTACCTTGGAGGCTCCGTGTCAATCGCCAGACTTTTGCCAATGGACAACAAACGCAAAAGTGAAAGCCGGTATCCGCTTGCCGTGCCCGCCTCGAGGTGCTGAGAGAAACAATAGGAACGCGGTCGTGGAGAGCCGTCTGTCTCGAATGGCTCTCGCCGCCAAGTAGGAGCTCGTGCGTACGTACGTACGTACGTCCGACCGACCGCCCAACCGACCGCCGCTCGGGATTGTCGTGGCACTCATTAGTGGCGCTGCCGCACCTTTTTCCGCTTCGTATAGAGTCGTTTTGGGTCCCGCGCACTTCCGCTCCGAGGGGGAAAGAC